CCGCTGCCCACAGCCCTACGCAAACGCCGTAAGGGGGCGCCGGTAACGGCAAGGGAGGGGCGCTACGTAAACTGCGTTGGGCTACGCAAATGGCGTAAGCGCCCTGCCCTCAGCGCTACGCAAATGGCGGGAGAGCCCCGGTTCCTTCCTCGGGGCTCCCAGTTTATCCCAGTACCTCCCAGTCCTTTCCTAAGGGCTCCCACTTCATCCCAGCTATCGCCGCGTTCTCGCGCTTCCAGAATTTTCTCCCTCCGCTTCCCAACTATAAAAGGGACTTTCTGTGCTGAACACCGAGCCGGGAGCACTGACGGGCTCGGCGCAGGGGCCCTGTGCTATTTGATTTCTCTACAGTTCATGGTTTTATAATGAAGGGGGAAGGGTTAATAATCTGTCACAAAGGACTGGAGCTCTCAGAGCCAATTAGTCCTCCAGTGAACCATTTAGCTGCTGAAATAAATCCAGTCTCAGGCACGCAATGAGCAGGATTCGAGACAGAAAAGCCTGTGTGGGTACGCAGGGCATTGAGCTCGTGCAGATTTGTCCACAGGTGCAACTTGGTACATTTTAGTACCGAGTGCTTTTGATACACAAACTGGCCACCGAAACTCTCTTGGGTCAGAACGTGCAAAGGTGGGACAGCTTTATCCAGAACACGTAGACCACACAATTTCTCAAAGCTGGATCAGAATCTGTGCCAGCCTGTGGTGGAACCATGAAAGCCACCCCCAGGAGTTGCATTTCCCATTCGGATATCAGGTGGGGACAAGTCCCTGCCACAGGAATGGAAAATCCATGGTGGGGTGGGAAGGGTCAAGATGCTGCCCTGGCAGAGAAGGGGGGATGTGCCACTGCAACATCTCCCAGCAATGCTGCTGTGGGTGGAAAAACACCATTAAGCTGGGACAAAGTCTAGGAAAGCAACGGCAGAGTCTGTCTCCCTCTAAATGTTATGTCTCCATCATCCAGACCCAAAGCCATGCTTTGGACCTCCCTGCACCAGTCTTGGTTTTCCAGCTCCTTAACTGCATCAGAACAAGGCCAAAAACATTACTTCTTTTTATATTCTTGTAATGGGTTGACCCTGGCCAGATACCAGGTACCCACTAAAGCCACTCTCTCACTCTCCCTCTGCAACTGGACAGAGGACAGAGAAAAAAACCAGCTAAGAATTCCTGAGTAGAGCTAAGAGCTGGGAGAGGTCAGTGACTGATCACCTTCACGGGCAAAACAAGACTCCAAGTGGGGATAGTACTTATATTTAATACTAACAGGATAAGAGCCAAAGAGTGAGAAATAAAAGAGTCTTAAAAACACCTTCCCCCCCCTTTCCTTCCATGTTCTCCCTCCTCCCCCCCAGCAGGGAGATGGGAGGGGATGGGAATGGGGGTCACGGTCAGTTGTTGTTTCTGCCGCTGCTCAGAGAGAGGAGTTGGAGTCCTTCCCCTGCTCCCGTGGGGTCCCTCCCACGGGAGACAGTCCTTGATGGACCTCTCCGGCGTGAGTCCATCCCTCGGGCAGCAGCTCTTCCCAACCTGCTGTCCCGTGGGTCACTCCTCCATGGGGTCAGTCCCTCACGGCTGAGCTGTACCGGCGTGGGTCCCCCACAGGGGCCATGAGTCCTACCTGGGAAAAACCTGCTCCAGCCTGGGCTTCCCTCTCCACGGGCTGCAGGTCCCTGCCAGGACCCTGCTCCATCCTGGGCCTGCCACGGGGTCACAGCCCCCTTCCTGCATCCACCTGCTCCAGCGTGGGAGCCTCCATGGGCTGCAGGGGGGTCTCTGCACCCCGATGCTCCTCCAGGGGCTGCAGGGGGGTCTCTGCACCCCGCTGCTCCTCCAGGGGCTGCAGGGGCACAGCTGCCCCACCCTGCTCTGCCCCACGGGCTGCAGGGCCTCAGCTCCAGTGCCTGGAGCACCTCCTGCCCTTCCTTCTGCACTGACCATGTTCTCACTCCGCTCTTCCCTGGCTGGAATTCCTTCTTTTTCTTAAATATGTTATCCCAGAGGCATTGCTGTCACTCCTGACTGTCTCAGCCTTGGCCAGCAGCAGGAATTCCATCCTGGAGCCACTGGCATTGGCTCCACGGGACAGGGGAAGCTTCTGGCAGCTTCTAACAGAAGCCACCCCTGTAGCCCCCCCGCTACCAAAACCCAGCCACAGAAACCCACTGCACCCAGTTACTTCCACTTGCCCCAGGATGGTTCCAGTTTCCATCAGGATGATCCTGGTCACTCCCAGTCACTCCCAGTTTATGCCAGTTGCCCCCAGCATGCACCCTGTCACTCCCAGTTACTCCCAGTTGCTTCCAGCATGATCCCAGTTGCTCCAAGGATGTTCCCAGTTGCCTTCCAGCATGGCCCCACTGGCTCCCAGTTCCCCCCTGCATAGTTCCAGTCACTCCCAGTTTGATCCTGGTCCCTTACAGTCGCTCCCGCTATGATTCCAGTATGGTGCTGGATCCCAGTTGCCCCCAAGGTGGTCCCAGTTGCTCCCAGCCACCCCCAGGATGGCTGCTTTCACTCTCAGGGACTCCCTGTCTGAGTCCAGTATGGCCCCAGTCACTCCCAGTCACTCCCTGGAGGATGCCATTTGCCCTCCGCATGGTCCCAGTTGCTCCCAGTATGATCCCAGTATGAGTCCAGTCACCCCCAGTATGATCCCAGTAACTTCCAGACACGTCCAGTAGGAAGCCACTTTGATCCCACTCATCCCCAGTATGGCTGCAGTCCCTCTCACACACTCCCAGTATTATTGCAGTCACTCCCAGTATGACCCCAGTAGGGGCCCAACTGCTCCCAGTAGGATCCCAGTTGCCCCCAGCATGGTTCCAGTTGCTCCCCTTCACCCCTGCTATGGTTCCAGTCACTCCCAGAATGATCTCAGTCACTCCCAGCCACTCCCTGGATATCCCAGCTCCCTCAGCCTCTCCTCACACCACTTGTGCTCCACTCCCTTCCCCAGCCTCGCTGCTCTTCTCTGCTCCTGCTCCAGCCCCTCCAGGGCCTTCCTCAACTCAGGGGCCCAGAGCTGGACACAGCACTCCAGGGGTGGCCTCACCAGCGCTCACTCCAGCCCAACAATCCCTTCCCTGCTCCTGCTGCCACACTCTTCCTCAGCCAGGCCACCATCCATTGGCCCTCTTGGCCACCTGGCCACACTCTGCCTCCTCTTCAGCTTCCTGTCCATCCCCACTCCCAGCTCCCTTCCTGCCTGCCTGCTCTCCAGCCACTCTGGCCCCAGCCCGGGGGGCTGACGGGGCTTCTTGTGGCCAAAGGGCAGGACCCGGCCCTTGGCCTGCTGGAACCTCATCCCCTTGCAATCAGCCCATGGATCCAGCTGGGCCAGGTCCCTCTGCAGAGCCCTCCTGCCTTCCAGCACATCAACACACCCCCAGCTTGGTGTCAGCTGCACATTTGCTGATGAAATGCCTGCTTCTGCAGCAGCTGCAGATGCTCACCCCAGCCTTTAGCCAAGCAACTGGAGTTCTTGGTACAGTCAGTGCTGCTCCCACATTAGTTGTGCAGAGTTCAGGTGTGACCAAAGGGACACTTCACTACCCCCCCATGACACAAAGGTCGAGGAATGGGAATTCCTAAGAGAGCAGAGCAGCCTGCAGAGCAATGGGGGTGATGTCTGATCACAGCTGCTTTCCTGGAGATGGCTGAGCCCCAGCTCCCAACCAAGCACCACACAGACACCTGCTCACTCCCCTCCCGGGGAGGTGGGAGAGAACTGGAAGAGGAACAGTGAGAAAACTCGTGCGTTGAGACACAGTTTATTAGGTGGTACACAGATGAGGTAGAGATGGGTGTTGGGGCTTGAGGAGTAGATGGGGAGGTCTCTGCTGAAGGCTGGGAAACCACGAGCAGGAGAAGCCATGACACAAATGGTGTCACTCTAGTTTTGCTGACCGCTGCACCTTCTTCTTGGGTTTGCTGCTCTGGGTTTCACCTTTTTGCAGTGATGTAGAGCATTTCAGATCAGCCTTTGGCAAACAGCCTTTCCCCATCACAAACACCCGTGGGTTCTTCTGAGATGGCTTCAGGTTATGAACTCTAGGAAGAAAGGGACTGGTATTAGCCAGATGAACATTTCCAGCCAGCCAGCCGCTCGCCTGTCTCCTCACAGAGCACACAGTGTCACATCCTCTCTCCAGGCAAGCAGCGAGCAGCAAATGAAACAGAACTGCACTGCCTGCCATGGAGGCAGCAGAGGTGGAAGGGCAGAATCACAACCAGTTATGGGCCTGGGGACCAACTGCAGCACACGGGGTTCCAGGTAGAGAAGGAGGCTGTGCTTGCCCCATAAGGAAGCATAGCTGGGGACTGGCTGGCCCCTTGACAGCCGTTCTGGATCTCCCATTCCAGATTTTGAAGCCCTGCAGGAGCTTAGTGTTTCATACAGTGTCTTTTCCCATTGTCTCCACACAGATCCATAGACATCTCCACAGACATCTGGCCTTGGCCAGATGATCATCTCTCTGTGCTCCTGTATGCTGTGTGTTCCTGCTGCCTCTCTGGGGCTGGCTGTCGCCAGGGCTGCACGCTCACCCACCCCACTCAGAGGGACTGAAGGGAGAGTGTCAGAGGCTCTGCTTGGTGCTGCCCATCAACAGGACAAGAGGCAATGGGCAGAACCTGATGCAAAACACCTTCCACCTGAACATGGGGAAGAACTTCTTCCCTGTGCAGGTGACAGGTTGTCCAGAGAGGGTGTGGAGTCTCCCTCACTGCAGGTCTCCCTCACTGCAGGTATTCCAGAACCCTCTGGACACAATCCTGTGCCATGTGCTCTGGGATGACCCTGCTTGAGCAGGGAGGGTGCACCCAATGGCCCGTCCTGTGATACCCACCAGGAGCACGGATTGGAAAGCACATGGACATTTCCTACCTGCACAGCATTTCGGCCTTAAATTCCCCCACACGCGTCGGGAAGAATTTCACACGGAAAATCTGATTCTGGCCAGCAGGGATGGTACCGCAGTGGGGCTCGATGGAGAACAGTGGTGGGTCCTTGACAGGAATTGGAGAGAATTCCGGGGAGGAGCTAAGGCCCTTCGAAGAGCGGCGCAGCTGCTTTGAAAGGCGCAGACTTGGCTGGGGCTGAGTTGGCTGGGGCTGAGTTGGCTCGAGCGGCAATGCCTGCTGCACCAGCCTTGCACGATGCCTTTCCCAGAGATCCTCAGCAGGAGAGGACAAGAAATCACCTGCAGGAGGAAAGAAGACATCTTTCAAAGACAAAATCCTTTGTTCCCAACAACTCTGCCTCCTGCTGCAGGTGGATAGAAGAGAGCTGGGATGCACTTGGAGCGCCTCTGGCCATGTACTTTCAGCAGGAGACAGAGCAGCTGGGAGCAGGGTCTCCGCCTGCAGCACACACTCCTGTGCCGGGGCAGGAGGCTTGGTTTTAGACAGTGACTTTGCATTTGCCCTGGAGTGGGGAACTGCATCCAGACAGCAGCTGCAGGGCAGCTCACTTGTTCCACCCTTGTTCTTCCCAGTCTCAGAGACTTCCCAAAGAGGTGCCCTGATGTCCCCCTTCCCAGTCCTGACCCAGCACATGGCTGTCCCTGGAGCCCAGGTCAGCTCCTGTGCAGAGCACAAGTGGCAGAGCAAGAACAGGAGGGGCTAAAAGGCAGAGAGGGGGGAAGGAGAAAACTCTCCAGCTGCAGCTGGGAAGTGGAGAGGGATGAAAAAGCAATTAATGTTTTGGGGTGAAGTGGCAGGGGCTTCTCCCCAGGCCCTCAGCTACCAACTGAAATGGCCCAGGCACCACCCAGAGCCAAACACTTACATGTCTGAGTGGACTAGAACAGCCTCCCAGAACTCTTTGATGGTATTTCCTCCTCCAGATTCTCCTCCCAGCAGTATTTCAGGGCTACATTCCCCGTATTGGACATCTGGAAACTGAAAAACAAGGAGGAGGAATAAAAAGCAAGTGCTGAAGTAACACTGTCTGGTGGGCTCCTGGTACCACCTTCCCCAGGCAACTCTGCCACGTTCAGAATTGCTGCCCTGGGTGGCCCAAACAAAGTATTTCAAAGTCTGGAAGTTTAGGAGGAAAGGGCCAACACGGTGCCCAGCACTCACGTGCTTATCTCTGTCTGGAAGAGCTCAGTCTGCTTCAGCTGAACCTCGACCGTGTCATGTCTGAACTCGGCGTAGTCAACCTGAGCACTGAGGACAAGCTCGACCTCGTGGCTGCTCCTCTCCAGGACGGTGTGAGGTGGTTCTGGGACTGCCTTGACCACCTGCAGGCAGAGGAGGGAGAATCACTGAGCAGAGCCCAGAAAGCCAGGCTGAGCAGGGAAACCTTTGGCCTCCAAACTTGGCCGCATAGAAAGGACATTCAGGTTTATTTGCCTGGAAAGATGACAAAATTGGACTGGTGTACTACAGCATTGGTTTCTACCCACTGATCAAAGCAGTCACCATCACGGCTATTAATACACCCCTGGGGACTATGGTCAGCTGTCAGTCCCTGTGCTTCAACCCCGTAGAGCCTCTGACCTTTTCCCTGGTCCCCTATAAATCCAGCAGGTCTCGACATTAGGATTAAGTTCCCCTGCTGGAGCCCTGTGGATGGAGAAGCCCAAGACTGACTAGTCCTAGAGAGAACTTTTTCCTTCTTGTCTTAGGAGAAAGTGCTCTCCAGATGGCACATGTGGGGTGGGAGCTGGCTGTGGGCATTTTGGGATGTGAATGATCTCACTGGGAAAGTCTCCAACTGCTGATGCCCTGCTGGGGAAGCTGGGTTTACAGGACTCACAAGGATTCAGAAACTCAGAAAGAACCTTCACCAAGATAAGTGTGCTTGGCAATAATGATAGAAAAAGCAAGACTTTCTGGAGATGATGCTTCTCCAGACTCCTGCGTACTATCACACAGGGCCTGGGCTGCTCCATAATGAGATATCCCCCACAATACAGAGGCCACAACCAAAATCTCTGGTGTCGGTGTAGGCAGAGCTCGGAGCTCACCGGTGTACGCACAAGAGCACTTGTGCTGCTCTCCCCTTCGGAACAAGAGACAGAATGCAGTGGAATTAACTCCTTGTGGGTGACAAGGCACCAATTCAGATGAAGAGATTTTAACACTGTCAAATGGGATAAAATCAAACGTGACCTCCCACTCAACACGGGCTGCAACACTCAGCTCGTGGCACAGACCGGCAGTTTGCGTGTGGATAAAGGTCTCTTGCCCAAAGGCTTCCCCCTGTGGTGTGAGCCCACCCGCTCACTGCGCATCCGCCTCTCCCTAAAAGGCACTGCTGGTGCACCTCCCGGCTGAGCCAATGCCCAGGGCAGGCAGGAGCTGCTCTGCCAGCAGCACTGGTGCTCTGCTGCTGTCAGCAGGTCCTTTTGCAGCAGCTCGGTGAGCTTTTGCTGCTGTGCTTCTTACCTTCTGCTTCAAAGGCCAGCGGGCTCCCGGGAGTCTCTCGGTGGTATCCTCCCACTTCTCACTGTGCATTCTGTCGTCCCAGTCCTAAACCTCCTCTGGTGGCAGCTGGTATTTGATCTTGGCCACCTTACAGTTCCCAGAGTGCCTTTTGATGGTGACCGGGACCTTGGATTTCAAGGTCACTCTGATATTCTTGGCACGGCCAGGCTGGAGGTGTCCCACCTAGGGAGAACCAGAGAGTCAAGACCAAACTGGAATCACTGGCAAGGGCAGCACTGACAGCAAAAGGGATTGATATGGCGAGCAGCTGTGCTGGGAATCAGCACCTCAGTGAGGATTTATGTGAGATTTGACAGAGCAAAATATGAACAGAAGGTGCCACCTCCCAGAACGTGGAGCCTTTTCTGCTGGGCTGACAGCCCTGCCCCAGCAAAGACAGGGATTGCATCTCCTGCATGGCACTGGAACGGGCTCTCACTGGTATGTGGTGACTCCCTGCCAGCTCCCAGGAACACCAGGAAAGGGCCTGAGCAACTGAGAAAGGCAGGGCTGTCCCAGCTCACCTTGGGGGAGAACTGGAACGGGGCATCTGCCAGCAGCCACTCAAACCGCATCACCTCCTCCTTGCTGCGGTTGGTGACTGTGAAGGTCTTGTCGCAGAGCTCCCTGACTGCACACTCCCCAAACTTTATGTGATTCGCTCTGACAGCTGTGAAGGAGAGCAAGAGACCTCAGCATGCAGTGATGTCCATCCACCCCCCTCACTTTAAGAGACACGTGCATGTTCAGCTCTTCCTTCCTCCAAGCCTCCCTCCCTCCCTCTGGGAGGTCCCCAAGCCCGTGGCTGTGCCTGTGCCCAGCGACAAGCAGCACAGCACACACTGCTCTGTGTGCATGGCTGGCAAGCTCACAGGCCCCCAAGTCCAGTGGGTGACAGCCCAGCCCTGGCTAGAGAGAGGACACGCATGATCAGACATTTTCCTCTTCCTCGCTCTACCTTGGCAGCCTCTCCTCTCTTACCCTCAATGATGTCGTCCTCCAGATTGCCCTCAGCATTGCTCTCCTGGCTGTCTTCTGCTAGTCCAGGGAGGTTATCAAGGGTGAAGTCATCATTGTGGCCTTCACCCACCAGCTCTATGTCGAGCTCACTGTTGCCTGACACTGGCACACGGATCTTCCCTTCCAGACATTGGGCCAGGGTGGGTTTGAAAAACACATCAAACTCTGCTGATTGCCCGTGTTCCAGGAGCAGGTAAGGCTTCTCGGGACGCTTCTTGGCTGCACTGCAATGGGAATCAGAGTTAAGTGATAGAGCTGTACAGAGGAAATATTTCCCTGGGGTATACGAGGAATAAGAGGTTGGAATCAGTTGCTTCTAAGCACAGGTTCTCCCACCAGTGGTTCCAGACCCTCTTCCTGTGTTCACAAGACTATGCCACCATCACACATATCATCACTTAAGCGGCTTAACCTCAGGTTAACGCCCAGCCCTCATTCCATCTGCTTCCAGCCAGCTCCTGCCATACAGAAGGCTGAGCCAAGGAGCAGTTTTGGCTTCTGCTGGCTGGTTTGTGTGCTCAAGGGCTGCCTCCCTTCAGGCTGGTACCTTCCCACATGCAGCAAAGACCTCAGCCAGTCCACTGAGGTGGTGATAGTCCCCCACAGCTCAACCCACCGTGTCTCGAAGAACAGAAAAACTTCCTACAACTTGCTAGGAGGAAACCCTGCAAGGAGTCCACAAGAAAAGCTCGGGGGACAGAGAGACCAAGGAAAGAAACTATGTCCAACATGTGGCTGCTGCTTAGACAAGCCAAGAACGGGGCACACCTTTTCCCTCTGTGAATGATCACACTGCACAGTTAATGAATTTACCTTTTCCAGTGGAGTCCTTTTCCATGTCTGCAGTGTGGAAGGCACGGAGTGCGGACTGCGTGCTTTTCAGGAAGAGAACTCCCTGGTCATCCATGATATGAACTGTAAACTGAGAAAAGGGAACACGGAGCACAATGACATTGGTGTGAGGAGAGGCTGGCACGGGGGTTGAGCCCGTACGGCCGCTGGTCCAGCACGGGGAACCCAGACCAACTCCCCTCCTCAAACACAGCGCCCAGCACAAAGGTTACGTGAAGTCACACAGGGAAAAAAGAGTGTTCAGAAGCACATGGATAGAACTGCCATAGAGCCAAACAGGACAGTCAGTCACGAGCAGAATGTAACAGAACCACAACGAAGTTTAATTAAAATGGAGTCAACCAGTATCAAATGCAATTTCATGGAACTGGGACGTCACACACACCCACATGAGAACAAAATGTGAGCTGGGAGACGGGGGAAAAACACCCCACCACCTTTCTTGTCTTGTGTTCAACTGACAAGGAAAGACTGGACAGAAAATCACATTTTTGGGGACCTTTCCTCCACAGGACAAGCACTTGTTCCCAGCCCAGAGCATTCCCTGAGCAGGTCCTTACCTTTGTGGGTACGATGCCATTGTTACGAAGGACCAGGGGGAGTGTCTGTGAATCCCCCAGCAGGAGCCTCCTGAAGCGCAGCACAGGGGTTCCTCTCTTACTCCCAAGGCCCGGGCACTCGACTGTCACCTGAGGCACGTGCCCCTCTCCACTGACAGTGAAGGTCAGCTGTTGGGGTTTCATCTTCACGGACCTGCTGGAGAGGCACAGAAACCATTTCAGCCAGAGCCTTCCAGAATAACAGTTCTAAATAATTTCCCTCATTTGAATCATGCCATACAGCAGATAAATAACGAGGCACCAGATGAGACGTGGCAAATCCTCTGGCTGCAGTGATAGGAGACATATGCAACAAGCAAAAGCACACCATGAGAACAGTACAAAAGCAAGAAGGGAAAACCAAACCAACAGCACCGTCAGTAAAGATTATTTCCAAGGATCCTAAAGAAGGAATTGCTTGTTAGGGCAGAAAGCTGACTTCCCTGTTCCAATTCAGCCACTAAAGGCTTGGGGAAGGGCAGGTCAGAGCCCCAGTACACAGGGAGAGGAACTGGGCTTCTCTTTGGTAGGAGCTCCAGTCACTCCCCTGATATAAAAATAGCTTAATGTATGCCTGGAAACCACACAGGATCACTTCCTTTTACAGAAATATGGAGGAAATCTTGACTTGCTGGCACAGAAACTGCTTCATCTGAGCCTTTGGCCTTGGAAAGTCCCAGCTCAGCTGTTGCACTTGTCAGTAACTTCCAGCTGGCTACCTAAGGCTCTCTCTTCAGAGTCCCTCACACAGCCTGAAGTATCCTCCTCATTTTCCTGCTCTGCTCTGCCTAATGCTTAATGCCCCCTACATCATCTCATGCCAGGTACTCTGGCTAAGGGTACTGAAAGCATTAGAGGCACCAAGAGGAGAGGCAGCTACCAGAACGGTCCCCCCAGTACTTCACGGGGTCACTACCTTTTTGGGCTAACAAGGGAAGCTGTGAAAGTGCACTGGTAGTCCTCCTTTTGTTCTGGAGTGAAGGTCACTGTAGCAAAGGTGTGGGATAAGCCAGGAATGCTCATCTCAACAGGATCCAGCTTGAAGATGTTGCTGATGAGGCTGTGAGGCTTGGGGGGAACCCACAGTGCAGTGTTAGTGTCACATCTTTCAATGTGACCCAGTACATTCCTAGATGCATCCCTGGGAACAGCCCCAGACAGCCTGTCTTGCTTCATGCTTCCCTGGGCAGGCTCCCTCCATGCCAGGGGATGCTGACCTTGCGCCAATGCCCAGGTGAGCAAAAGCTTGCTTTGAGGGCTGGGCAGCCACCCCAGCACATGTGGGAGGTTGGGACGGCACAGAAACCCCTCAAATAACCCAGGACTGGCCTTTCAAGAGAAGGAAAAGCCAGGAAATGCTCTGCTTTGAGCTCTGCCCCATCAGTCCGTAACAGCCCCTCTCTGAGTGTGCTTTCGAGAGATGTTCAGAAGGATTCCCACCAAAGACCCAGAAGCGTGAGCCAAAATTTGCTTGAGAGATGTGGAATTCAATGCAAGTGCCCCCCTGGCATTGCTGCTCTGCCCTGCAGTTCGACCTGCCCTGAGCTGGACTGGTCCAGCTGGGCCAGAGAACACAATGACTCTGGAGAACAAGGCAGGCTCTCACATGGCCTTTAGAGAGCAGCGCTCACCTTGGCCTCTTGTTCTTACCTCTCCAGGCATGGCTTTGATGGAGAGGACCACGTCACATGGGACACTGCTGCCATTAGAGATCTTGAAGCGAGCTGTGGCCTGTTGCCCAACCTGAACTTTGGTGAAGATGAATTTGTTCTCATCTCTGATGAACACACCGTTGCCTTGCACCGACTGTAACGTCTGGCGGAGATTGACGTTGCTGTGGATCGGGTACTGCTCAAAGATGGACGTGACGTCTTCAACAAGCGCTGCAGACAGACCAGAGGAAGGGCTGAGGCTGGAGAACCTCTTTGCTGAATTCACCTGGACCCAGTTGGCCTCTCAGAAGGCTTGATAAGCCCTTTCTGTCCAGGTGACTGCAAAACCCAGCCTTGGATGAGAGAGCTCAGTCAGTGAGGATGGAGCTCAGTCAACCTCAGTCTTAAAGGGCACTGCTTTCCTTTTATGCTTCCACACATCCCTCCCAGCCTCTCCCCACTGGTGGACTTGAAAAGGACTGCAGCCTCTGAGGATTTTAAGGTGGGACTTCAGGACCAGGGTGCCTCTCTATCCAAGTAGCAAGTTTTAGGTGCTGATCATCAGCAGGACTGCCCACGGCAACCTGTGGACAGCACGTACCTGGGAGGCAGGACTCGGCAGTCAGGGTAAAGGGAATGCCGAGGGGATTGTCCTTGGGGTCTCTGTTGCTGATGTCGATGTACAGCTGCTCCTCACATTTCCCCTCTGCTCCTGCATTGCAATCCACTGTGATCTTCTGCTGGCCCCAAGGACCAATGGAGCCGGAGCAAGGGGACACAGTGAACATGCCTACAGTGAGCTGAGCCTGCAGAAAGAGCACCAGGACAGGCTGATGCCCAACAGCCATGCCCTGAACACCCCCAGCAAGGAGGATGCCACGCCTTGGCCTCCAGTTGAGCCCAAGCACCCAGTGCCCAAAGGCAGCCCCAGGATGAGATGAACAAGCCAGGAGGAGCTGCAAGTCTGTCCCGAGTGGCAGAGAGAAAGGAGTTTGGGTGAAAAGAATGAAGGTGGTAGCTGAGATCCTTCGACCTCCAGGGGTACAGGAGAGCAGAAAGGACTGAGAGAAATGATGGGAGAGAGGGAGGGGATTGGAAAGAAGAAAAAGCAAAGCTGTCAATGTTCTATGGATTGGGAGTTCAGATGGGGACAGTTTGCTCCCGTGGTGTTCACAGATCTGTGCTGGCTAGCAGCCACCAAACACAGGACCTGGTCCCCTCTCTTGACCCCACAACTGCAGGTCAGAGCCAGAGCATGGGACTATCAGTGGAACTGAGCAGATAATGGACTCTCCATCCCACAGACCATGTCCTACCCCCAGCCTGGGCACAGCTGCATCCTCCCCCATCCCCTACAGCAGCACACGCTGGGCAGGAGCAGGAGCCACCCACCTGCGTCGAGCGCTTTCTTTCCCTGACCAAGGGGGCAGATTCCTCTTGCTGTGAACTGAGAGGGAAAAGCAGAGACATCTGTCATGCTGAGTTCCCCTGCCTTTGTCTGAGGCCAAAGCTAGCCTTCCTCCCCATGGAGGAAAGCCTTCCTGCTCCCGATGGCCCCCGGAGAGCTGCCTGCAGCACCCATTGCTGCAGCTCATGGACAGAGCAGCTCTGTCAGCAGCTTTGTCCCACACATGGGGATACTGAGGTGTTGTTTTGCTCCCTCTTCCTAAGCCAGTGACCCAAATGGACAATAACCCAGGTCTGGCTGCCTGTCACACACCAGCTGTGTGGTGGTGCCTCCTCAGACAGAATGGCTGGTGCAGGTCTTCTCTTACCTTTGTAGTGGAGGTGCTTGGTGGATGAGGAATTTGAAGTTGAGGGTGCCTTTGTTCTCCACAATTAAGACATGGGTCTTCTTGGTGCCCTTAACCATGGCACCGAAGTCGATGGGCGAGGCAGGCTCGATGCTGTACTTGCTGTACACAGCTCTCGCCGACACCCTCACTGGGATGGCGGCAACGGTCTCGCCTCCTTGACCCGATTTGAGATCAGTGACCTGCAACCAGAGGAGGGGCTGGTAAACACAGGAGAGAGGCCAGCCTCTACCCCTGTCCCCTGACCCCACCCCAGGTCTCCATCAGCTCACCCTCTCTTTTTAAAGGCCTCTTCCAGAGCCAGATTTCCAGTTCTTTTACAAAACCTCCCAAATGGTTTTGGAAGTCTTTGTTTGTGTATGTAAAAGAGAGGATGCCCCAACTAAAGCCTTCTTTGTCAAAGACACCTCTCCTGCTTATGCTCCCAAGACACACTGTGCTAACACAGCCAGGCCCAGGCAGCTCACCCGGCAGAGCAGGATGGGTTTGCTCTTGAGAAACACTTCAGTCGTGGGGTGGAAGAGGACCTCAACTTTCACAGGTGGCTGGGAGGCTTTCAGCACAGCCCTCTGCGGCCGGACAGTGAAGGGAGATTCCAAGTCACCCCTCTTGGCACTTCCAGTGGTCAGCTTGAAACTGTGGAGAAAGGGAAAGAATGAAGACCTCTGCAGTTGAAAGCACAGGTGCCACCAGCACAGCCAGCACTTTGCATAGGACCAGAAAAAAAAAGAAAAGGGAGCAGCACGGGAACAGGTTCTAGCCATGGACAGAGGGAGAACGCAGGCCTGGGAGCCTGAGGAAAAGCTCAGCACCAGGCAGCTGGACTCACCTGTACTCAATGTCATATAAGCCTTTGTTCTGCAGACTCAGGACGTGCTTCTTATTATCCAGGACATTAATAGTTCCAAATTCCAAGCTGCCATCTGGACCTGCAGAAAACCCACAGAGCGAGGTAAGAAGTGGTGAATATTTGTGAGCTGCTGCAGAGCACACCAGCTCACAAGCTACACAGTTGGAGATCTTGGATGGCACAAAACCCTCTTCAGCAAGTGCCCCTTCTCGGAAGTGTTCTCTAGCTACTTGGCTGCCCTTTCTCTTCTCACTCCAGTATCTGCAGGGTAGAAGCCAAGGAGCTTGGTTTCCATTTCCTTGCTTCCAAGCACAAATCCAGCTACTTTATGTGCTCTGCTGAGCCAACTGCCTGTTCAGATGACTGTTGTTTCAAAGCATCAAATGCAGTCTGCACACGAAGCTGCACATTTCCAAGTTCAGACGGGAGAGACTCAAGGCTGTTGGTGCCCTGACAGTGCTTTACTTCACGCAGCTTGCAAGGTCTGTGCTTTATGGATCTGTGCCACCCTTGCCTGCTATGCCATCCCCTCCCAAGGGCTTTGGTTGCCCACCTGCCAAGGTAGTAAAATGCATCTGGACTGTGTTGTCTGGGAGGCATCCACTGACCTTCAGGCATGTTGATGCTCAGATTAACATCGTAGACCTCCACAGAGACTTTGATGGTTTCAGCCTGAACAATGCCCAGGATGTTTTCTGGATCTGAAACCTGAGGCAGCAAGAAACAAACACTGCTTAGACCATTCTTTTGGAAGACAGCCTCTAAGTCCTTGTCTCTGCCAGCTGCTTCCCCCATGGCCTCCCTGGCTTGACAAGTGTTTGTGGACTCCCAAGTTTTCTTAACCTGTTCATCTCACAGGCTGCCCCGTTGGGATTCCGCTGCATTAGGAAACCTTATCAGCCCAATTCTGCACTCCCACAGCAGGGAATGGTGCTGCTAAAGCACCCTTGAGAGGGCCAGGGCTGTAAACACAACCACAAGAAATGGGAGGTGTCCCAGAGCAGGTGGCACTGACAATTAGCGCCCTCCTCGTCAATCACCTTGCATGTTTGCTGAAATGCAGCCTCTAAACCACAGGGAACAAAATCCCAGAAAAGGGGCAGAGGGAATGCTGGTCTGTACAACCAAACAACAGCCTTCAAGGCTGCACAGCAGCAAGGTGGCTGTGCTACAGGCTCCGGATGCAGAGCCTGGGCACCCGGCCAACCCAGCACAGAGGCAGAAGTTGGGGCCACAGCACCCCCGTGTCTGTCAGGTGCAGCTCTCCCTGACTCTGTCCCTAAGAGCACACGGCTGCTTGCTCTGCCCTGCTCTGCCAGGCAGGCCCAAGTCCCTCTCACCTCTAGTTGGATCATCTTATTTGTGATGCCAATCTTCTCGGCCTTGAAATTCAGCTTCACCTCAAAGTCTGTGCGGGGGCCAACGATGCCCCTGCCTCGCGATGCAGAGAAGTCATCGCCAAGGTCATCCAGCCCACTGAGATGCCATGCCATGGGCAGTGGGCTGCCACGACTCGAGTCAGGGAAAGGGAATGGGGTCGGGCACTGCAAGGAAGGGTCTTTCACACGGTGGAGGTCGGTGAAGCAATACCACAGTTTATTTGAGGGGTAACAACTTATATAGGGTAGGATGGTGGGTGGAACTTGGGCTAGGGAGGAGCATGAGACTGACAACCGGGTGATAAGGAGGATTGGGTACTCAGGCAAGGAGGGGAGGAGTTTGGATGTAACTAGGGGAATGGGCCAATGGGAGCTACCTCTGCACTGCACCAAACACTGTCCAATGGCAGGCAGAGGAGCGGGAAAACAGGGAAAAAGGCGGGAAAACCGTGAGGGGAAGGAGAAGACAACATGGAGGATAATTTTAAAAAACAACAACTGGGGGTACATATAACACTAGAACAGCATAACAATAAACCGGGGATAACAGGGGTACAACTGTCATAATTCAGAAGGTGTCACATTCAGTATTATAAGTCAAGTCCGGTGTGTAAATGTCCTTTCAAGGATTATAAATCCTTCTCCACGCTTCATATCTTTCCCAGTCGGTCTCATTGCCTCCAACATCTCCCCCTTCTTTATTTCGTTGAAACGTAGCGATGTTCGCTTGGATGGAGTTCAACAGCATCTTTCGTAGACACAAAATCAAACAAAGTAAAACAGTACAAACTGAAACTAAACCAAAAAGGGACAAAACACACAACATAATAAGTTTTCTCGACCAGGTAGGTAAATTTGGCAGTTTTATCCAATCGAAGAGGTTATCGAGGCCTCCTCCTTTGTCTTGATGAATTTCCCGGACCAAACCTTTCAGCTGGTTGATGCTTTGATGGATTGATTCAGAGTGGTCCGAGAAATTCATGCAACACATACCTTCAAATTCTTGGCACCCGTGACCGTGTGCCAAGAGGAGGAAATCGATGGCAGCTCGATTCTGCAAACTCACCTCTTTCAACTTTTGGGTGTCTTCGAGCAAGCCCTCAATCGCTCGAGTGGTGGCATTCGCTTCCTTGGTCAACCAGCACCCCAAGTGCGTCAGGAGAGAGAGGGCATGCGCGGTCCCTATCCCGGGGATAGGAAAAGATGCCCAAAAGTTCTTCACCCTGGACCAGATATGAATATTGGAATCGCAGTCCTCTGGGAAGGGCAGAGGAGTAGGCCAATACTGTGGCCTTCCAAGATTCAGATGTGGTGCAGGGAGGGAATTTTGGAGTCGAATCGGTTGGGGAGTTATTTCGGGTTTAGATGGGGATTTAGGAACAGCAGGCTTGGAATTTGGAAAACGGAGGGGAGCGCCCATCGAGAACGAGAGGGACCTCTTGACTTTGATTTTCGGATGTACCAATTGATTTTCTAGTTGGAATTTTGCCGGATTAAAGAGGGCTAGTTTTCCTACTGTGCAGGGACCCCCTTCCGGGTAGGCCCGAATTCCAGGCCACGCCCGATCTCCGCACAGCAGGAAATATCCCTTTGGGAGCTTCATATTGCGTGGGATGTGCTCTGTGGGCACGGTGGTTGCCAATGAGTTATTACACCAGGGTGAGTTGGTCCCTCTATAGATAGGTTTGTAGGATGTAACATTAAGGGGAGTATACAAAATTGGTTGGGTGTATCGGTGAAAAATTATACAGGTCATGGAGGGTAGTGAACCTAAAAGGTCTATTTCTTGAAAGGGAGTGTCTACGAAAGGTAAGGCGGAGATGGTTTGTGCGAGGTTTGGGGAGTTGAATGGTAGGGGTCCCCGGATCCGCGTTTGTGACACAAACGCGGTCCATTCTGATGGTGTGATGGGGATCCCTACCAGGCATGTTTTGAAGGGGCTTCCAGCGCTGGTCAAGGCCAGGCATAAGGTGTCAGTGCCAGTGGCCTTGGCCAGCGTTACCCATAAATTTTGCGACAGCTGGTTCATCCATCCTTGTAGTGGGACGGTGACGGTCCTATGGACGAACTCAACCAGAAGGATCAACGGGAGGTAATGCAGCAGCAGCATTGGTGTCTCTTTCTGCGTCGTGGATACTTTCTTCTGTGTTGTTGTCGTTTATTTCAGAAAGATCTTGACACGTCGTGCAGGGACCCACTTTGGTCCGTCAGGACCTGCAATACATGCGTAGCCCTTCCCCCAGGTGATTAAGGGGAAAGGGCCCGTCCATTTTTCTGTCAGCGGGTCCTGGTACATTATCTTAGCTTTTAAATCAGACAGAACTGGTGACGTTGATCTGAAGTGGCGATCCACAGGACTTTTGCTTACGTGGGTGTCCGAATCCTCCATCATATTGAGAAAGTTCAAAACATACATAACTTTCTCTAATTTTTCTTGGGGGGAGAGGCCAATACTCCCCCCTTTTTGTTTTTTGAGCAAATTTTTTACATTTTGATGCGCACGCTCCACTATACCCTGTCCCGTGGGGTTATGGGGGATCCCTGTGGTATGCTGTATCCCCCATTGTTCAAAAAACTTCTTCGTGTCTGCAGACACATAGGAGGGTCCATTATCTGTTTTGATCTGCTTGGGGACTCCCATCCTTGTGAATGCAGACAGGAAGTGTTTTTTGACATGGCTACTCCTTTCTCCAGGATGCGCGGTGGCTACAATCATCTTAGAAAAGGTGTCGATAGACACATGTACATACTTTAGTTTACCGAATTCAGCCACATGGGTTACGTCTGATTGCCAAATCTCTAAGGGTGACAAACCTCTTGGGTTTGTCCCCTCTGGGACAACAGGTGTAAGTGTTTGGCAATCAGCGCAAGCCTTTAAAATTTCTTTTGCTTGAGATAATTTTAAGCCGAATTGTTTTTGCAACGACCGCGCATTCTGGTGAAAAAATTCGTGCGAAAGTTTCGCCTGCTGCTATAAATTGGGGGTTACAGCCATACCTGCCAGATGGTCGGCGAGCTGGTTCCCCTCCGCCACAGGACCGGGTAGAGTGGTGTGTGAGCGGGTGTGGACAATGTAGTATCCAAATTCTCTTCTTTCTATGAGAAACAACAATTTAGTTAGTAATCTGAATAAGTTCTGATTGGTTACGTCTTTCAAATACGAATTTTCAATTCTTTTGACCACACCCACTACGTAAGCCGAATCTGAAATTATGTTAATTGGCTCACCACTAAAAATTTCAAAGGCACGCACAACTGCTGAGAGCTCTACGATTTGAGGAGAACCTTGTACTTTGTGGATGTCTTGTTGCCAATCGTCATTTTCTCTCCAGACTATTACTGCGTTTCCTGTTCTCCCCGAGCCATCGGTAAAAACTGTTTTCGCATTTGGGATAGGCATTTCAGATTGCATAATTTTTAGTCTAATCGGAACCTGAACTAATCTCTGTATGAATGGGCACGCTGGGAGATGCAGTCGAATTTCTCCCGGGTAGCCCCCGATGGCTATTTGAAAGTCAATAGAGGTCTGCAGCAGTTGATCTAAATGTTCGGAAGTCAGTGGGAGATAAATGAAGTTTGGTTCTTCCCCACTGAGTTCCAAACACCTAGTGCGACCTTTGGATATTATTTTGCCAATCATCTCGATCATAGTGGTGATTGTCTTGCCAAATTGATGAGGGAGGAACATCCACTCCCATAAGCAAAAGTCTTTGTGGTCGCTTGTAAACTGGCCCAGAAGGGCCAATGGTTGTCTATGTTCCCTGAACACTACTAAGAAGGATGGCAGTCCCTCCATCCTCCTACATGCTTGTCTTTGTGTAATTTTCTTTTCAACAGTGGTAAGGGCTCTGATTGCTTCTGGTGTTAAAGTTCGGGGGGAGGACAGGTCAGCGTCTCCTCTCAGCAGCTCGAACAGGGGATGCAAATCTCCGGTTGTGATCCCCAGCACAGGTCGGATCCAATTGATCGCACCCAGTAGCTTTTGGAGGTCATTTAAAGTTCGGACGTTTTTGTCAATTGATACTGATTGAGGCCTGATGCTTTTTGTAGTAATTTGGAGTCCGAGATACCTCCAAGGTGCTTCCCTTTGCACTTTTTCAGGGGAGATTTCCAATCCCTTGTCTTTTAGAGCCGAAACTGTGGAATTTAGTGTTTTATTCACCGCCAATTGGGTTTTGGCGCAGATCAATACATCATCCATATAATGGAAGATGATTGACTGCGGGTATTGTAGCCGAATGGGTCTCAACACTTCCGCCACAAACATCTGGCAGAGTGTTGGGGAATTTTTCATCCCCTGGGGAAGCACACGCCACTAGAACCTGCGGTGGGGTTCACAAGCGTTGACTGCAGGGACAGAAAAAGCGAATCTAGCTGAATCAGCCGGATTGAGAAATATGTGGAAAAAACAGTCCTTAATATCTATGACCATTAGGGGCCATTCAGCAGGGAGCATAGATGGTGAGGGCATTCCCTGCTGGAGGGCTCCCATTGGTTCAAGGACTTCGTTTACTTTGCGCAGGTCCTGGAGAAATCTCCAGGAACCTGAGGATTTTTGGATTACGAACACTGGAGTGTTCCAGGGACTGGTGGAAGACTCCAAGTGCCCTTTTGCTAATTCCTGATTGACCAGATCATTTAAAATTTGCAGCTTTTTGGTAGGTAGGGGCCACTGATCGACCCAGACTGGCGTATCTGTTTTCCAGCTCAGTCTGGGGAGCTGCAGTTCTTCAGTGACCCCTCCTAAAAATTTTGTTCTGGAGACAGGGTTCCTAATTTTAGTTCCCACTGCTCCATTGCGTCCCTACCCCAAAGTGTGACTGGTATGTTCAGCACATACGGTTGGAGTGACGCTGGTCTGCCCTCCGGCCCGTAGATAGTCAGCACCTCCCTGCTCCTGACGGGATACTGCGTTCCTCCCACGCCGCTAACTTGGACGTATGCAGTTTGGGCTGGCCAGGCGTGTGGCCAGTCCCTGGAGGCTATGATGGTGACATCCGCCCCCGTGTCGAGAAGGCCTTCCACTTTGACTCTCTGTGGTCTTTTTGGCTGTGAATAATAAATAAGACAGGTTAAGAGAGGGCGAGAGGTTTTGACTGTGGTGGTCCAAAGGACCTCCTTCTCTGCCGTCTGCCTCTGCTCCTCATCTGCCGACAGGACACACAGCAGGTCTTCAGTGGAGACCATCTTCACCACGGGGAAGCGGTCCTCCAGCTGCACGGGGGGAAGATGAACAGTTAGACATATAGCGATGTTAGAGTATGTCAATCCCGTCAGGAGAGTGGGTACTACAACAATTCCCTTACCGACTGCTGAGAAGTGCGACATGACTAGATAGGTTAGGTCTGGGTCAACTGGGGTCGATGGTATGACCCTTGCTAATTGCTCGTACGAGCTAAGGTGGGTAGATGGGTGTATCATGCATAGGACATTCCAGTTTAGAGGCTTACACTGCTCCCTAGTGGGAACAGGGTCCGCCGGGGGCAGTCGGACTACGGGGTAGCTGGGCGTGATTGGCGCAAGATGGAGTGGGGGGCAACTTGTGTCATCGCGCCCCCCCGGGCGCTCAGCTCCCCGTTTCCCGACTGCTCACATGGACACTGCCTTAGGTCCGGCATGGACGAAAAGGTCACTCGTTTTCTGAGCCTAGGTGATCGCTTGGGGGAAAGGGGTTCGCCATTGATGTTAGTTACGGACCTGCAACTTGAGGTCCAATGGCGACCCTTTCCACACCTGCGACACAGGGTGTTAGGCAAGTTAGGCTCGGATTTGAATTTAGGACAGTGTTTTCTGAAATGTCCTTTTTCCCCACACTCGAAACAATGTTGGGGCCCCGAAAAAGCTGCAGCCATTATCCTTGCTTTATGGGCATTGGAACCAACATTTTTGCATGCCTCTATCATCTCCAGCAGTGTGGGATCTTTCAACATCTTTAGAACTCTCTGGCAGTCTTCGTTAGCTTTTTCAATAACCAATTTGTTAAATAAAATTTCTTGACTCTCCTTTTGGTGTACCTGCCGAGCTATAGCTTCTTTGAGCCTAGTAATAAAATCTACAAATGGCTCTTTAATGCCCTGATTAATAAGAGTAAAAGAGGGCGCTTGCATGTACGCGTCCGCCACTCTTTTTACTGCCTCTAAGGCCAATTCTTTTGTTACATTTAACAATTTGGGGTCTAATCTAGTTTGGTCCCCTCTGCTGGAGTAGTTCCCCTCCCCGTAAAGCATATCAATGGCTTGCCTAATTGGAATCCCTCTTCTTTCCATCTTATCATTAACGAAGGTGACAATTCGTTTTTTCCATTCAGCCTCGAATACCGAGGCTTGAACGGTAGTGAACAATCCTCCTATGACTGCTCGAATGTCATAGGGGATAAGGGTGTAAGCTAAAAAGAAGGATTCCAATAGGCCGATTGTGAAGGGTGCCCCTAACCCGTACTCGACAATTGCTTTTTTGATGTCTTTCAACATCGGGTACGAAACCGGTCGCCACTCGGGAGGTTTCCCTTCCTCGTAATAAACCGGGAACGCTTTTAAAAATTCGACATCTTGGGCGCGCGCGGCCTCCTCCCGAAAGGCTTCCCAAATATCAGGTACCGAGGGTTGCCTATCCGGGGAGCGCGGTGCCCACCCATAGTCAAAGTCCGGTTCGCGGCAGGCAGGGTAGGCCTTGGTGTGATGTGGCCTATGGGCGCGGCCATCTTTCCGGAAGGAAGACCTGACTTTCGCCCTTGCCCCGCCCACTGCTTCCTGTCTTGGCCGAACAGGTGACACGTCGGGGGAGGAGACGGGAGTGACGGAAGTGGGCGTTATCGGAGGTGTGTCGGGGGAGGGACTTCTCGCGCCACGAGTGGGTGGAGAAGGAGGCCACCCAAGGGGTGGAGCTACGGGGGCCCGCCTCTTCTTTTCCCGCGCCGGTCTTCCGCACGCTTCACCCTCCCCCCTTCTCTCAGGACGGTCTCGGGGTCCCTCCTCCTCGACGCCATTTCGCGATCGACGCATATTTCTTCTCCGCGCCCTCACGCCATTTTGTGATGTGGTGTCGGTTTCTGTCTCCGTCCCACCATCTTGTGTGTCCCCAGTGTCCATGTCCTTTTTAATGTCTTTTTTGGTGTCCTTTGTGTCGTCTGCTGGGAGGCTGATATTCGTGTTCATCATTTGGTGCTGTAGCACCAGCAGAACAAGCCTCCACGCAATCAGTGCTTGTTTTGCCAATCTGTCGCCTCTTACTGAGTCCCGCCATAAGTTGTATCCTAAGGCTTGCCATTTATCTAACGAAATGTTATCTGTGAGGGCACAGCCTTGGCGGTCTAGCCACCTCGCAAGTGCTTTGGCAGATTTTTTATCTAGTGGGTGGCCGTGTTCTATAACGAAATCTTTGAGACGACGGTATACAAATTTTTGAGAGGTGGAGAGTGTCAAACCCATGGTGTTATTCGGGCTGCACTCTCAGGTGTTACTCCTCTCCTTTAAAGATTTTAGTTGCAGGGGTGTGGTGTGGGGTGAAGGTGACGGGAATGTCCCTTGCGGCTCACCTTATCCGGTGTGCGACCCGCGCGACTGAAGCAGTCCGCAGCCGTCGGCTTCGCAAGGGAGAGTCGGCGGAGCAGTCTTCCCTCTTGAAGCTGCTTGAGCCCAAGAAGAGCCACGGGAGTTCTCTTGATGCAAGAGACCTTCCACCGTGCCCCACGTTGGGCGCCACTTGCCACAACTCGAGTCAGGGAAAGGGAATGGGGTCGGGCACTGCAAGGAAGGGTCTTTCACACGGTGGAGGTCGGTGAAGCAATGCCACAGTTTATTTGAGGGGTAACAACTTATATAGGGTAGGATGGTGGGTGGAACTTGGGCTAGGGAGGAGCATGAGACTGACAACCGGGTGATAAGGAGGATTGGGTACTCAGGCAAGGAGGGGAGGAGTTTGGACGTAACTAGGGGAATGGGCCAATGGGAGCTACCTCTGCACTGCACCAAACACTGTCCAATGGCAGGCAGAGGAGCGGGAAAACAGGGAAAAAGGCGGGAAAACCGTGAGGGGAAGGAGAAGACAACATGGAGGATAATTTTAAAAAACAACAACTGGGGGTACATATAACACTAGAACAGCATAACAATAAACCGGGGATAACAGGGGTACAACTGTCATAATTCAGAAGGTGTCACATTCAGTATTATAAGTCAAGTCCGGTGTGTAAATGTCCTTTCAAGGATTATAAATCCTTCTCCACGCTTCATATCTTTCCCAGTCGGTCTCATTGCCTCCAACAGTGGGCTATCGTTTTTCAGGACCAGGGTCTGGGTGTCAGTCCTGCAGAGACAGGAAGACACTCAGCGTCAGTGCTCGGTGGTCACACCAGCCTGGCCACTGAATGCGGCTCGAAGCAGCTCCATCTGAGCCTCTGGAACCAGAGTCAAACCTCTTCTCTTTGTCACGAGCCTTGGAGTGCCCTCAGCCGTGGGATGACTGACCTGTGCAGAAGCAGCTTGTTGAAATGCAGCTCCTGGGGGCTGACCCCCAGCTTCACGTGCATCCCTTGGTAGCACAGTCAGAAGACCACTGGCTCCGGGTTGTCCTTGATCCAGCAGACAAGATTGTCTTCCAGGAGGCCAGCAGAAGTCGGGTACACCCAAATACTCAGCTTCTGAACCCGTCCCCACAAACAGACACACAAAGAGCCCTCTGTGAGCAGGAGGAACGGCACTTCTGCGGTGCCTGCCCTACCTGCTCACCTCCTACCTTCTTCTCTTTGGGCTGCAGCCTCATGCTGGGAGGGTCCAAAAGGAACGTCTCTCCTTTGCTGTCGTTCTCAAAGGAGAAATGCACCTCTGCCTCCATGGGGGAGTCGTTGAGGATGGTTAACTTTTCGCTGTTGCCGGGGCAGTTCTGTGCCTTGTACCTGTCCAGAGAAGGGGAAAAGGCTGCAGAGGAGACTGTTGCCCTCACCACACACCGAGGAAAGCACCGTGTGCTGGCAGCAGGAGGTGGCACTGGAAGACCATGGTCTAACAAGCAGGGGAAGAAAAAGGATCCCTGTCAGGGGCACGAGGCACGGTCTGTGTGCTCATCCTTGCCTGGCTTTGATGCCTGCCCCTATACCTGGTGCCTGCACCCCAGAAGCGTGACGATGCACAGGCCATTTCAAGAGTGTTTCACACCATATAAATTCAAAAGTGCCTGGAAAAACAACAATACACCAGGCACAAGGGTTCTTTCCCCTTCTTTCTTGGGGTGCCTTCCCTGCAGAGGATAGAGAAAGGCTTTGGAAAAGATGTTTGCAAAAGAGTTTTGCTTATCTCTTTTAGAAAAGTTGTCAGACTACCATGGGTTAGCTCAAAAGTCTGAGGGAAAGAAATCAAAAGCACCAATTCCCAAGGGGAATGTGAAAGATAACAAATGACCCTTCCCTGAGGTGTGCAACTGAATTTGGAGTGAAAGGGCTAAAGAGGTAAATAGAAATCCCAGACCATCCATCAGCCTGGCCTTCCAGAGCTCCCATGGAGACAAGAACTTAACTTCAAATGTTATTAAAAAAATAAAAAGAAGAGTGACATTAAAAACAGAAATATGCCAACAGCTACAATGACAACACTTTTAGGCAGACTTTTTCCAGCACTGCAGATGCACTGGAATCTCAGGAAAATGTAATTCCTGCTGTAGGTTCCCCTCTGACTCACACATATTGGCAGGTCAAATCACAAAATCTCACTACTATTAGAGATTAATGAAAGGTTTACAAAACCATCCAGAGAATACTTGCTTGTTTAGTCTACCTGTCGAGCTCAAAGCACTTGAAAAAGCACCATAAAGTTCATTTCCTAAGGGGTGGAGCTGAGATGTGGAGGGGACACAGGTTGCCCCAAGTCACCTTCGGGCTGGCAGCAGCAGCTCTGGTGGCTCTGGACACCAGGGCACCCACCAGGCTGGCAAAGCAGCTCCTCCAAGGCTCAGTTGCCTGTTATCTGCTCACACTCACACATCTGTGCTCCCTCAAGCCCATGTGTCTGCCAGGTCTCAGCCTGGGACTGCCCTGCATTGTGCCACTGGGACAGTGTGTCTGCAAGTGTGTCCAGGAGAGCACAAGGCCCTGGAGATCCCCTCCCGACATCTCAGCCTGTACAGGCAGCACACAGGGATGCTCACTTGGGAGCAGGGAGCACATACCACTCTCCTGACTTGCCACAAAGCAGCGGTCCAAAGTGGAACTGCTTTGTGCTCATGACATATTCCTTGGAGATGATGTCCTCCTTCTCCTTGCTCTTCCTCCAGCGAGGAAACACCAGCCTGGGCAGAGAAAAAATGGGGAATGAGGAGCTCTGAGATGCTGCAAGTAGGAAATCTAGTCAGAAAGCCATCACCCTTCTCGGTGGCTGAGGTACCAGTTCAGCCTCCCAGCTCCCAGCAGAGGAAGGGATGCTGGGTGACTCAGGCAGCACCATCTGCCCCAGCCAGAAGGTCACAAGGGGCAGCCCTGGCTCTGAGGTCGGGGGTGCAGTGTGGGATGCTCCCGTGGCCCAGCCTTACCGTGGGTTCTGGCTGATGCTGGGGTACAGGGCAGTGGCACTGCAGGGCAACTGGTACAGGCGCTTTGAGCCCAGGATCTCAAAGTTCATCAGCTGGTCAAACTGCCCTGGCACTGTGGGGCTGAAGCGGATCTTCAGTTCCACCTCAGCGTGGGCAGGAACGATCCACCGGAACCTTCTCAGCCTGGCAGTTAAAAGGGAAGCTTCAGACATTGCTAAGGGGCAAACGAGACAAGGAGGAGGGCTGTGCACTCGCCATCCCATGGAGGCACTGGCAGAGGGTCGCTGCGGAGCTGAGGACGATGGACCTTGTTTGGCAAGATGAGCGTGAAGCACAGGGATCACCTCCTCCCCTGCAGCTCACCTGGCAGGTCTCTCGAGGGTTGAGTCACTCTGCAGTTGGCTTTTCATTGGCTCAGGTGAACTTCGGGGTGTTTCTGGGGAGTGATCACGGAGACTTTTCGGGCTCTGGGGGGAGTTTGGCTTTTCCTTGCTAGACTTGTGTCTGCTCATGGCTTTCCCCTCCTTCAAGTGGTCCTGTGCCTCTGCCTCTGGGGCCTTGGCATAAGGGGAGAGAGAAAAGGGAGAGAGAGGTGAGACCTGCCCTGAGACACGCCCCTCCTGGAAAGCAGAATGGGGGATTTGTTAGCCAACAGGAGAGAGAATAAATAATCACCACTGCCCATGGACTTGGTCTTCCTTATTGGCCTTTGTCTTGCCTCGGACACCCCTCCTTACCCAGGACCCTCTCCCCACCAAGGACCCTTGGGTTGATGGGTTTAAGCGATTTTTTTCCTGTTGTCTTACAGAACTGCTCTGTGTCTCCAGCAGAGCTGTCTCTTTTCTCTCATCCCTGGTGGAAAGGATGCCTGCAGACATGGGGCCCCATCACGTCTTCACTGCCCCTCCATGGTGACCCTTTTCCATCCAACCTGTCCCCTGCCCTGGCACCCTCACTTAAGGCACAAAAGGAGTACCCACCACATCATCTTCTGCAGCAGCACCCTCAGGTTCAACAAGGATGAAGTGTCTGAGGTCTTGTGATGCTGTGGGGACTCTGTCCTCCTCTGGGTAGGGGACCACGGAGAAAAGAGAGCCAGGGGGAATGGGAGGTCCCAGTCCCAGAGAGTGCAGGATCTAAAACCAAAGAGAAAAGCCTGTTTATACTCCTGTCACCTTCATCCTCACACTCCTTCCCTAAAGGCCCTGAGCTTTTGGCAGTGGAGTTTTTGATTTATACAGACTACAAGTGCTTTTTTATGTCCCATGGGTCAGCAGGCTCCAGAGCAGAGGCAGGACCTACAGTGGGACCAAGAGAGAAACCTCTCCCAAGTGACTCAGCTGAAGAGAACAATGCCTGGGAGCTGCCCTGCCCTGGGACCATTTTTAATGATTTCCAGACTGAGAAACTCTCTGAACAGATGGGATGCTTGGACACAGAGCACTCCCACTTTCCACACATCTGAGGGAGGCTGAGAACCTCCCCATCCACAGAGATACTGTGGAGCTATTGTGGAACATCATCAGTGGCCTCGACAAGGCTCTGTGTTCTTATCACCTGGGGGGCACACTGTTCCAGGGTCCCAGACCACGGCAAGTTCAGCATCTGAGCCTTGCAGGCTTTTACCTGCTTTGCTGGTGGCAGCTTCTTGCTCTTCAGGATCCTCCTAAACACCTTTTCATGACGCGTGACGTGGAAGTCCAAGCAGGGCACTCTGGCATCCTGGCTTCCGACTGAGCCTTCTGTCCCAGGATGACAGAATATGTTTGATCTTCTTCTGAGAAGACTCACAGATGTCAAACCTCAGGTCCAAGATCCTGTCCCGCTTACTCGGCACCTCTGGGATTTTGGTTTCTTGCTGCCCATCTTGCTTCTCTGAGGCTCGTGATGACGCCTTTTTGCTTTCCTTATGCTCTCGAGCCAGCCACTCCAGCTCCCTTCTGCAAGCCAAAGAGAAAACACCCCTGAGAGTCTCCACCAGAAACCTGGGCTCGCTGTAATCCCAGCTGGCTTCGCCCTTCACTCCTCGACCCTGAGGCCAGGCAGAACTTTCAGACCATCTCCGTGGACCTTCCTCAGCCCAGACAGCTTGGGAACATCCCAAGTGAGGAAGGGTGGGAGGCGACCTCCTGGGCCAGCCAAACCTAAGCCTTGCCATCAGAAGGTATCAACTGTGCAGCTTCTCCCCTGAGACCCACCCGGACACCTCCAGCACACTGCCAAAGGCTGATCCACCATCTCTCTGCAGGGATGACTGATGCTGCTCCTCTCTTGGTTTCCCAGTTTAGACCTGCCCATAAATTGCTAACACCTACTTATCCCTCCTCCAATGCTTACTTGGCTCCTTCAGCCCCCTTCTCCCTGGGCAGAGCCTGCTCATTAATGAGAATAATCATAGCAATCAGAAAGCAAAGGCTGCAGGAAGTCCCCTCCTGCAAATCAGGCTCTGATTCACCAGGTTTCCTGCTGGAACACAGCTGTGACCAGGGCACACTCGTGCTGTCTGTCCTGGGAACTGATTTGAAGCAGTCCTGGCCATCTCCTCCCAGTACAACAAACATCAGCCTGGGCTGAGAGAAGTGCTGAAACACAGGCTCACTTTAAGCAGCTTCCCCTCCCAGCTCCACACTCTTCCTGTGCGTCCTCCTGAGCTGGGCTGCCTTGCTGGGCCAGAGCTTCTCCCAGATTCACCTGCTGCTGCAGCTGAAGGGCAGCTTAAGCTTTTATGGATGGTGCTCCACCCTAAGGAAAGCCCTGACACATCAGCACTGCAAGGACTTCATCTAGAGCAGGACTGGGGTCTAAAGCAAGCCAGCACAGCTGTGTCCCACACCAGCCCACACCACAATCCTGCGGGTTTGGTGAAGAAGGGGGACGATGAAGATGAGAACCAACATCACGCACTTCGAGACACTTCCGTGGGCAGTGACAAGGCAAGCCCAGAGCCCAACTGCCCTCAGGCCATGTCTAAGCCAGAGGGCTCACGGCTAAAACGGAGAGATGATGTTCTCATCTCAACAGAGGAAAGTCCTTCCTCTCTTGGGAACTGGGGACCTGGACCTGGCCATCCTTGTGCTGCTTCTGGCCTTTGCTCTTGAACCCCTCTGAGCTCAACCAAGGTCCTTGGAGCAGAGAAACCCTCCAGGGACACTACCCTGAGGAGTAACCCAGAGGAGGTTTACTTACCTCTCCTTCCGCTCACGCTTGATTTGTTCTATTTTGTAATCAAGCAGAGCTGTCTGCTTCTCAGAGAGGGCTTCGTACTCGTCCACATCCACATCCCAGAGACGTTCTTCCTCTCTCCGGGCAGCTTCTTCCTTCTCCCGTGCTTCAGCACAGACCACAAGAGAAGCCATCAGTGACTGCGAGCAGAGCTTGGGGCTCTGGGTCAGCTGGGAGGATTCACAGCTTTGAGCACGCACAGGAGAGAAGATGCCAGGCTGCTCGCAAAGAGGGTCTCCAGGCCATCAAACACCTCTCCCTTGTAGCAGTCACTCAGCTGCCAGGAGAGACAAACAGGAACAGCGAGTCAGCCATCGCACACGTTGGGCTCGCAGCGGGTCAGTAAATGCAGATGTCTCAGGACACCAGTCACTGTCATTCCAAGTGCATTAGCTACAACCAGCTTGGATCTGCCAACTTAGGGCATCTGCACCTTCCCCCAAGGATCCCTCATGCGGCACAGGATCCTCCAGCAGCAGGCACAGACCTCCTCCTCCTCCTCTCCGAGCTGTACCTCACTGCCTGTCTCTCTGGAGCAGGAGTGTCTCCCTTTCCCCCACGCCACGTACCTGCAGCCGTTCAGAGATGATTTCCACCAGCAATTCCTCGGGCAGCACACAGCTCCAACACTTCCTCTTTTCCTCCTTTCTCCCTGTCCTGGTGAGGATGGTCAGTCGCTGTGGTGCAGGAGCGGTGGCGCAGGAAACGGCTGCCATCTGCAATGTGGAGCATGGTAAGGAAAATAAACCCCTGCAGAAAGCCCTGGACAGTTCCCAGTGCTGGGCTCACATCTGGGCTTCCTCGCTAGCGGAGACAAGGGCAACCCTGCAGTGCAGGCCCTGGAGGGCCCGTCCCTTGGCCAGCAGAGACCCAAGCTTGCAAGCCCCCGGCACAGCCTCCCACAGCTTTGCTCGCCGCCTGCAGCCAAGTCAGCCAGGAATGCACTTTGCCCACAAACCATTAAGAACCAATGGTGCTTTTCTGCCAGAGCACATTCCCACCCCAAGCCATGCCCAGCTGGCCCTTGGCACTGTAGACCTTGCACCAGGCCCTTGGTGACAGGGAGCCTCCACTGTAAGCAGCCCCTTCCCATCTCAATGGCAACAGGAAGGTCCCAGGCATTAACCAGTGCAGATCATGATTCACCTTGGAGGGCACTGAAAATCTTGCCTGGGGTTTGTCAGATGCCTTATCCTTGGTTGCTGAAGCGCTCTGGTGTCCAGCACTGAGGGTCTTCTGGCTGGCTTTGTCCCCAGGGCTGGGCTGGGTTTTCTTGGCCTCAGCACCCTTTTTACCTGCAGAGGGGACAGATGGCTCAGCAGGGCTGTGAGGAGCGAGCAGGCACCTTCCACCCCAATGGGCACAGCCTTGCCCCTGGAAGGGACATGGCACTTGTCCCCCAGCCTGCTGGGCACTGGCAGCACTGCTTCCCAGAAGCAGCTCCTTCCCTGCTTATCAGCAGGACACAGCACACCAGCCCAGACTGGATTTTAAAGCCAGCCCTAGGCCCCTCCTAACAAACGTGCACGCAGGTGACACTGCTAGCACAGTAGTTCCCCTACGGATCAAGCCAAAGATTTGCCCTCCAGGACCATTGTTTCCATACCTTGCACCCATCCTGCATTTTCACATGGAGACTGTAACATGCAGCCCTGCCCCAGCTGCATCACCCGCCTCTGCTGGAGCTAAATCCTCCGTGTGGGAAAACCCCAGCTGGGATCCACACCCTTCTTCCTTCCACCAGCTCTGAACCCAACCAGGTTCAAAGCAAAGCAATGCAAAACTTCTCCCCACACTAAGCAGGTCTGCCCTCACCCTGCAGAGCTCAGGGCACCAACTGCCAGCAAAGTTTCCTGAAAGTCTCCAGTCTGATCTGGAGAACAGCACAGCGTGCACAAGCTGCATGAGCCAACAGTGGGCATAGGAAAATCTCTGGAGAAAAGAGCTCATCTACAGCATGTTTCTCATTGGAAACTCCTCTAGGAGCTTATTCTTCCCTTCCTCTCACATTTGCAAAGCCACACTCATAGCTGTCTTGTGCTTAATGAGCCACTTCAGAGGGCTTTTTCCTTCTGAAGGTGGGCAATGGTTCTGCCTGCTGCCCATGAGCAGCAAGCTGGATTCAGCTTTGAGGAAATAGAAAAAATTCAGAGAAAGAGACAGGTGTGCTTCACCACCCCTAGAAAAAGGAATATGTGCCAAGAATGGCAGTAAAAGTGCCCCTGTGGGAGCCCTTCAAATCGAGCTTTCTGTTTCCAAACTAGCCAGAGATGCACAGCACCCATGTTCCCTAAGAGAGCCGAGGGCTGCCAAACCATTTCTCTGAGCAAGCAGAAGTGGACGGTCGTGGTGGTTTCCTAAGCATGCTCTGGGTGCAGCGTTTCTCCTTACCCGGCATCTGTTCCCTCCTGGCTCTTTGCTGACGGGCAGCCTCGACGCACAGCTCCCGGGCACGGCGCCCCGCCGAGCTGCGCTCGTCCGACATGGCTTCTGTCCCCACCTCGGCCAGGGACAAGCAGGCGGCACTGTAATACTTGGACAGGGCGGCCGCCGCCCTTGTCTTTCCTGAGAGAGAGAGGAAGACTGCTTGGTGACACCTGCACGGGAGGCATTTTCAGGGACAGCCTCTGGAAACTCACAAACGGCTTTCAAGGACGGTGGGAAAGCAAGTGCCCTTCTAGGGGAGACCACGAGGGAGGCAGCTTGAGCACGGTTACGAGCACTGAACTCCAGCCCCAGGTGGGTCATCTCCACCTCGTAATGCAGCTGAGGACTTTGTCTCAGGCACCACGCTCCACCAGGATGCATTTCTCCTGCTTCCCCCTCTCCTTGCAGCCCAGGGCTGTGGCTCCCGTACCTGTCCGCGGGGTCCCATAGACGATGATGGCAATCCCTCTGGGCATTTGGGCTTTGAGCTCTTCTCCAACGGGATTGGTGTCGAGGTAGCGCCTGACGGCCTGACGGATGGGCCTGTCACACTCGTCCACCATGTCCTTCAACAACCTGATGCTCTCTTGAAGTGCTGCTGTGCAGAACCAGCAGAAAAGTCAGCCTCCTGCCTACCTTGGATCCTGATCATCCTCCCTATCCCCTCCGATCCCAGGAAAGGAGACGGCCGAAAGCAACGGGAGCTTGTGCTTTTGTTGCTGGGAAGGAGCAAATAGAAAAGAGCCAGTGATATTAGACCTGGTTCTACTGGCTGAAGAGCTCATCTGATGCTACTCTTTGTGGCTAAGGGACGCAAGGGGATATCCTGACTACTTCCCCAGTCTGTGGCAGGCAGATAGGAGCTGGCTTTGGCTACACTCCAGGTTGGCAGAGGATGCCACAGCCCTTCACCCAGGAATTCCTCCACCAGGCAGGAGGTCAGATGGCTGCTAAAAGCATGGGCTTTGCATGGAGAACAAAGTGACAGAGAGCTCGGGCTGTGTGGGCTGGGCTCCCTGCTATGTCCCCAGTCAGAACAGCCAATGCCAAAGCCTTACCATTGTCCTCGCCTGATTCTTCCTTGCGCTTGAACATCTCTTGACCCAGAGCCTCCATCTTCTTCCATTTTTCATAATATTCCAGCACCTCTGGGGGCAGCTTCTCACCCACAGCGCGTGGAGGCATCACCACGGCCGTCCGGTCTCCAAACTCCTCCAGCGTCCGCAGGATCTGTGCGTGTGGGGAAGAGAAACCATCCACAAGATTCCTTTATCAACCTCCATCATACCAACAGACTCAGCCCATCTTCTCCCTCCTTCCTTCCTCCCAACAACACAGGCTTATCCAAGCCCCTCCACAGACTGCCAGCAGGGATGGCTCACCTCAAAGTGCCACCAGGCTTTGCCCTGGAGATTGCCTCCATCTCCCTGGCACAAGCCTGGGAAGGCTGGAGTGCTGCACAGCTTGGGGAGCACACACATGGGGACCAGACCTTCCCTCTCACCTTCTCCTCCTCACGGTACTCCTCGTCAAACTCCAGGGAGTAAAATTCAGTGGGGAACTCGCAGGGGTTCTTCACCACCACTGTCCTCTCCAGCTCAGGGCCGCACGGAAGCACCGCTCCCAGCTTGATCTCCGTGGGGCTGAACTCCAGCCGTGGCTCCAGACCCTGTCCTGAGATGTGCAGCACGAGGAGCTGGCTGTTCCCACGAACGTTGATCTTCAGCTCGGTTTTGTAGGACTTCTGAAAAGAGAAAAGTGCCGAGAACTTGTCCATGAAGTCCTAGGTGACAGGACCCCAAATACAAGCCTTGCTCAAAGGTCAGGGGTGTTATCAGTCCCTCCAGGGGGAACGGAAACCCAGATCTTTACTTATGGTAGGGCCTACAGCATCTGTGTCTTTGGCTCGGAGTAACTGGGACAAATCCTGGTGTGCAGTGTAACTGGGTATTTGGGTATGAAGTGGATGTAAAATGGATTATCAGATGTTCTCCCCTAGTCATGGAGGAGCAGACGAGAAGGGCCCTCAGTCCTGGTACTGCTGCATCAGGCAAACACCAGCTCCATGAGAGAGGCAGATGAGCTCTGGCTGGCTAGAAATAAAGGTCGTCTTCTCTGCTCAGTGTTTGGCTCTGGTCAAAGCCTGACACGAGATGGTTGGTTACATCCGTCGAGCAATGAAAAGATCCCTGGGACTGTTCTTGGGCACGGAAGCACTTGTGTCCCTCCTGTTACACCCTGTCAGTTTCCAAGTCCCAGTGGCCACATGCAAAGGGCTTTTGGGAATGCTCCATCCTTGAAGTCGACTCCCCAGCTGCACGGCAATGTGCAGGCAGGCTGGGCCAGAGCCCCAGGGACTGCTGGCAGCACACCACTCCAGGTGACTGTCCTGCCGTGCCCAGGAAGGTGTCTGGTGGCTGTTTTGTCTGTTGGTGCCAGCAGCAGGATGAGCCAGCATTGGCCCTTCCAGGTTGATGCCCTGTGACTGTGCCAGCTGCTCTGCACCCAGCGTCGCAGGCTGCAAATACAACCAGGCAAGGGGGAGGACGAGGCAGTCAGGCAGATCTCCCCCATGGGCAGAGAGGCAGCCACAGCACAGTGCCCTGATGTTCCCTGGGAGGATTTCAAGGCGCCTCTCAGAAGGGTGTGCTGCAGGGGAAACTGAGGCCCAGTGAGTGCAGGGCTTCCAGAAAGCTGCTCGTGGAGGAAGAGCTCATCTGCCACTCCCTGTGTTGGGCTCTCCTTACCACCCTGCCCTGACAGAGCTCCTGGGGCGACAGCTGCCAATCTCACCTCTTCCAGGGGGGAAAACTGGATCTGCAGGTCACACCACTCTCTACCATAGAGGGTTCCCTCCCGGGCCTTCCACTGAAAGACACGGGAATCATCCTTCGCAGCCTGGAGCTCCTTCTGACGCACGGCCGGTGTCAAACGTTTGTCCACCTGAGCACAGAAACCAGTCGTGTGAGGTCTCCTCGGTCTGAGAGGACAGAGCCTCGGTTCCTGGAGTGCTCCGAGATCCTGTCCCGGTGCTGAGAGCACCCACAGCAAACCCGGCGTGGCCCCCACGGTCTAGAACTGGAGGGACAACCTGCAGGCAGGGCAAGCAGATGGGGAGCCACCGCCCTGTCCTCAGAGGAGGAGGAGGAATGGGTGAGGATGGCAGGGAAGCAAAGCATCAGCCAATGGAACAGGTCCAGGCAAAGCAGCCTTGATCTGGACCCTCAAAAGCTTCCTCAAACACGCTGTAGCCCAAGTGCTCAGGCAGCCACAGGCACAGAAAAGGCAGGAGGTGCAAAGAAAACCCAACATTCCGTGTTACATTTCCCTGTGCTTTACCTTCTTGGCAGGTTTGTTGACAGTGAGGAACCATTCACAGGGCGCGCTGAACCAGTTGTAAAGCCGGACTGTTTCACACCAGCACTGCCCAACCTGGACATCGGGGAACTGGAGTCTGTTCCTGGAGAGGCTGAGCAGCAGCTGAATCACAGTGGCACGGAGGCGGATGTGCAGTGTGGGGCCTTTCTCTACCTGGAGAAAGACAGAGAGTTCAGCTGAGAGTCCAGGCGACACGTGCTGCTGTGCCCAGCCTGCTGCCTGCCCCAAAAGCTGCGGTACCTTGATGGGCAGGAGCACATCCACCTTTCCCATGGGCAGGTTGGCACTTGCAAAGTTCACTTGAAACCGTTTGCTGGTGCCGTAGATCAGGAACTCCACGGGCTCCAGGTATATGCTGAAACCTTGAACAGATGAAAACAAAGCAGCTGAGATACACAAGCAACACAAAATGTGTCATAAGCATGTTAAGGCCATACGAGAGCCCTGCTGGGAGCCCTGGGAAAAACCCCACGCTGTGCTGTTCCCAGGACAGAAACTTAGAGGAGACACCTGAGCAGCCCTCAGACACAGCGAGCCACTCTGTGATGGAAGTGCAGATTTGCCTCCAGGCCTCTTTTGGAAGCCTACTTTGATCCACCAGAGGATCAAACAGGCTGTTTCCTCAATAAAGGCCGAACACAAGAGCTGTGACAGCGTGAACTCCAGACAAAGCACTTTCCAACCACAACAGATCCCATCTGTCTGCAACACCCCCAGAGCGCCCAAAGAAACTTGATGCTGATGGGAACTGAAGGCAGAAGATGCTGGCAGGTGAGGAGGGTAATCAGCCCATCAGGCCCCTGCAGGGAAGCATCAGGGCAGCCCCAGGCAGGCCAGGTCCCTGGGCACGGCTGGCCAGGAGAATTCTGGCCCTGAAGCTCCCAGCAGGGGCACTGGGAGGAAGAAGCTCAAAAAACCTCCCCATGTGCAGTGGCTTAAGCCAATCTGTCTGAGACAGCTCCCTGCAGCCCACGGGAAGCCTCTCCAGCACTGGTTACCTGTGTCACGCAGGGCACGTTCATTGGCCTGGACGGCCACTGGGTACCTCCAGGTGTTGGTGATCTTCACAGTGCAGCTTTTACTGTAACCCTGAACAACAGTGCCCATGTCCAGGATGTACTCGGGCAGCTCAACTCTGGAAGGAGGAGTAAGGACAGTCCTTAAACAACAGCATGGCCACACGTTCAAGTAGATGGAAGATTCAAATAAAGTGGACATTTCTGTACTCACTGCTGTAAAAACTCAACTCAAGCCTACAAAACCCAAGGCCTGACCACCTGGGAATGACTTTGGGAAGTTATGGGGAGTGCAGGTCCTAGGTTTCATCAGCTTCCAATGGGACCCGAAAATAAAATTAGTTTTCAATGGACTCTGGTCACAGCTCCTCTGCTACAAAAAGCCGTGTAGGTAAATCCATTGGACCTCCAGTGGTCTCAGTGAAAACGCTTCTCCTGGTGCACAGCCCAAGCCTGAAATTGCTTCCGAGCCTTGGAATAAGATTTGCACAGGAAAACTTCGCTGCTCACATGAAGGATCTGTTTTGCAAAGCATCTTCTTCCTGAACTGGAGCCTCCCATGCCCAGGCAGCATCATGAAGGAGCAAAGGGAAGGACCAAGTTACCCAGATAAGCCCTGCCAGCCCACCAGCATCAAAGCCACCTTTTGCTTAGGGGGCTCTGTCAGTCAGAACCAAGAGAGCAGCTTGGAGTTCTCTTTCCGAGCTGGTCAGCAGGGACAGTGTCTGTGCTGTCTGGAAGGGCTTGATGGTCTGCACTGGGCCCTCGCAGCTCTAAGAACAGGACCTTGCACCTGTGGGGAGCTGAGCAGCTCCAAAGCTCAGCGCGGCGCTGGGGAAGGGAGGACAGTCAGCTGCTCACGAGCTATTGCTGCCACAACTACTGGGATCAGACCCAATCTGAAGTGCCCACTGTTGCCAGCTCTGCATGCACAAGGAGCTCTCAGGAGCAGGGGACACTGCTGGCTGTTGCCCTCAGGGCACCTGCAGAGAGGGAACAGGAGTCCCTACTCACTTGACAAGCTTCTGAGGAATGCTCTTGTTAAAGACAGTGTCCTCTGGGGGGCGGGAGATGAGGGTTGGCTGCAGCTCCAGAGCATTCTCCTTTATCAGCATCTGCTCCATCTCCATCCTCAGCCAAGTGTTTGCCTGAGGGAAGGGAAGGCAGTGGCTGGTTAGCAAAGGCCCTTCCCAAGGCCCAGGCTTGTATCTAAAGAGGATCCCACCCTGCTCTTGTTGAAAGGGGGAATGGGGTCCTCCTGGCTGCTCAGTGTCACATTCTGCTCTCCTAGCCAGGACCTTCTCTCCAGGGAAATAACTGCAGCATCTGTGCCTTCCCACCCACTGCTAGAAAAGCTGATCTGGCCAGACAGACAAGCTAGCAGCCTTCCAGAGCTTCAAGTATTTGCCTGTCCCCAACCAGTGCCAAAGCAGCTTGGACAAAAGCTGTCTTGAAAAGGGAACCCCGTCCAAGCTGCTGCCTCTTGGAGTTGAGTACTGCCAGCACAGTCCCAGGGCACAGTCAGGCTGCTGTTCCTAAGGTCTGTAAACCTGCTAGGGCTTGATTTGGGAGCAACAAACTCCCCAGCAAGGGGAGTAGCCAGGAAGCTTGGTACATCTCCAGGAGAGACCACGACCAGAGGTGGGGCAACGCTGAGCTGATGAATGTTTGTGGTCAGGTGTGGGCAGGGAGGTGCCAAGTGCCAGCAGGGCACTGAGAAGCTGTTGTGGGGTGTTGTGGGGTGCCAGGGCCTCAAGTGACATGGGGAGGGTGGCATGTGCCAAATGGGACTGCAGCTGTTCCTACCACAATGCCAGGGCCCTTCGCGTGTCGCTTCCTGATTTGAGCCTTCCTCCAAACACTTACTTTCTTGTCCTGCTTGTCTTTTTTCAGCTTTTCTTTTGCCTGTTTCAGTAGCCTCTCGTATTTTTCACTTCCTGAAGGAAGAAAACATTCACAAATAGAAGTGTGGGTGCAGTGCCAATGCCATTGAAGCTGAGAAGTCCCACTCCCCCGAATGCTGGTCTCTCCCAGAAACAACCCATCAATGGAAAGCCACCTCTGGAAAGTGGATGCTGCTGCTCATCTCTGAATCCTCACGTTCACTCCCACCCATCTTCCTCCCCACAGAGGAGCATCTCATCCCCTGCAGTGTCATGCAAATCCATCCCTGCCAAAAGCCCTGCCAGTCTCTCTTACAGCTTTCCCAAGCTTTTCTGTCTAGCCATCTTTCCAGGCCTCTGACGGAAGTGCTGGCAAGAGCTGCAGGATGGTTACTTGGACAAAGCCTCCATGTGCTTGTCTGCTCAAGACTCAGGAAGCAACCAGAGGGGTGAGTGTTGGTCTGGCAGCCCTGCAACCTCCAGGCTTGGTGGAGATGGGTGTGAGCTGCCCTCTGGGCAGCCAGGAAAACCCCAGTGGGGACTTTGCTGGGGAGCAGACGGGCAGTGCTCACCTCTGATGCTCCAGGGCAGGTCCAGACAGATCCCAGCAAAGATCGCCTCTCCTTTCAGGGAGATTTCTACCGGTTTCAGGTGACCCACTTGAACCTGGAAAGTCCTGCAGAAGACTCCTGGCACTCCTGGCAGGTAATAGAGCTTCAGCACCTGCTCCTTGCCAGGTTCAATGGAAGCCTGCAAGGGACAGGAGAAGAGGGAGGCAATGCATCAAAGAGGGTGTGATGGAGGAAGGCTCAGGCCACAGACAGGCTGAGAAGATAGTTTCTCTCTGGAAAAAAATGTCAGACCACATCACCTTCTACCTTCCTGGTGCCCAAAAGCCCAAGCCTCCAAGGCGAGGGTGCAGAGGGTGCAGTGTGTCCTTCCCAGGGCTCCTAAGGCTGCACCCCCAGCAGAGCCTGCCCTGTGCTCAGCGTGAGCACGGCTCTGCTGCTAACGGGGTTTGCCCTCTGCCAGCGAGAGCCAGGCTGAACAGGTGAGAGCTCTTTTGCCACCACTGGGGAAGAGGAGCGAAGCGCCCACACTCTCAGCCCGGCCAGCAGCTCCTGCCACCCCTTGTAGGAGACAGGCAGGAAGAAATGGGAAAGCCAATCGGCTTCCTCTTCCCATGGCAAAGAGGGACAAAGACAGGAACACTGCTTCACCTCAAAGACATCCAGGCAGCACTGAGAAGCTGGGACAGTGGTGGGATGCTCCAAATTCCTCTCTTGGCTCTTCCAGCCCTGCTCCTCCCTGGCCCCCTCACTGCCCCACAAAGCTGCTCCAGAGCAGCACAGCTGGGGGGAGGGAAGGACCAGCACAGGGGTTGTGACACTTTCTGGCAGAGCAGCTTCAAGCCCAAGCAAGGAATATGTAAGTGCTGCTTAGTCCTGTCTGATCCCACAGCTGGGGTAAGGTGACCCTCAGAAGAGCCTCAGTGCCAGCACAGCCACAGAGCTCAGCAGTCGGGGGCCAAGGAGTGACCAAAGTGCTCGTGCCTCCCACCGGTGGCTGCCCTGGGATGGCAGAGCCACTTGCCAGCCAAGGCCACGGGGCAGTCTGTTAGGATGGCACTTGCTTGACCTTCTCTGCCCCCAGCAGCAATTGCTTACAGCCCGGTCTCTTCTTATGGCTGGGTTTGGTTTTATTTGCCCCCCTTTTTTCTCTTTAACCCTCTCCTTGGCCACCTGACACAGGGCTGGGTCAGTCAATTGTGCCACTCACTGTGCTGGGCAGGACCATGAGCACACCAGGCAGAGGCTTGTCTGCAGTGCCAGTGCTGGGGCTCTGCACCACGTAGGTGAATCCGACCTTCCCGTCGTTCCGCAGGGTGACCTCGGCTCTGGTGACTTCGTTAAAGAGCTGGAGAGGACAGAGGAGTGGGAAGTTACAGACACAGGCCTGCTGCTGAGAATCTATTTCCTCTTTCATGGGGTTGAAAGCAGACACACCACAGGAGCAGGGACTGGGAACGAGCTACGGGCACTTGGGAACGTGGGGAACCCCCAGGCACAGGGACCTGCACAGGAACAGAGTTCTGGCAGCACGCAGAGGGGCAGGAACAACCATGGGAGGGCCAATAAGAAATGAAGCAGGGGACACGGGCCCTCTGCACTCTGAGGGGTCACCAACAGCCAGGAGAAACAAAGGAGGTGGCATCGAGGCTTTCCAGAAGAAAAGGCGCCTGCATGCAAATACTGGCAAGCAACACACCAGCCAAAAGGGAGACAGACGGGGCACCAAGACAGGGACAGCAGCTGGAAAGACCTGTGGACTTTTAACTGAGAAGTAGGAAAGTGGGGATTATTCTGGGACATTCTCTCCAACTGCAGTGACTGGAAGCCCAACCGGGTTATTTTGTGGATTAAGCAAGAGCATTAAACAAGAGCATCTCACTGGAGCTCAGGCTTTAGGAGTGGATCAGCAGAGGGATGTCTCAGGGACGTGTCCCTCTGGACATCCCCACTGGGATCCTGCTTGCTCCAGGAGGCAGCATTAGGCACCCTGAAGAGAAGGAATTCCCAACATTCTAGAGGGGGGTGGAGACAGCCATTGCAAAGCAGTCTGGATGCCAGACAAATCCCTCCAAGGTTGTGCTTCCAAGCCCCAGAGCCAACAAAGGAGCTGGGAAGGGGAGGGAGCCCTGGGCCGGGCTGGGCAGCAACCTGCTGGTGATGGTCCCAAGGCAGCAGCTCTGCCAGGAGAAGGGGTGGTACCTGCAGCCCACAGTTGATCTCCTCGATGCTCAGGTGGTAGGTGAGGACCGAAGTCTCTCCCCTCAGCTCCACCTCGTAGGTCGGGCCTCCCTCCACCCGGCACAGCGCTGTGACACGGGCGATGATGTTGGCATGGCCAAAGAAGGTGAAGGGCACCTGCTGGCTCTTGCCCGGCTGCAGCACACCGGACACCGGCTGGACACCAAAAACCTGCAGGAGGGGAGGAGGGATCGAGTCGTTGAGCGTGGAAATGGGTGCAGAAGAGCAGCCGTGGCTTGGAGCAAAGCACAACCGTAGCTGGAGGGGCCTATTCCTCAAACACCAGCCAGAAGCATCCTAATCTCATCCTGCCTCCATGCCAATGACCAGTGGAGGGAGCATGGCCAAAGTCTTCTGCCATACTCACTGCTCAATGCATTAATTAATACCAGACATTAAAGTAAACTGGGATGTCTCCTGGCAGCAAGACATTCTCTCTGCTGCAGAACTTGCCTTTAAAACCGGTTTTTACTGCCTTCAGAAAAGCAGGAGACTCAGAGGTGAGAGCTCTTGGAGCTGAGGGGAAGACTCCAGCCCAGCTCATCTGACTCCTGAGGCTTTTCCCTCTCTCTCTGACTTACATGCTGCTCTCTCAAGGTGCTACACCAAAAGCTCCTGAAAAATATCCTGTTGAGCACCTGATGAGGTACCAGGGGAGCAATGCCCTCCCTGGGTGCTGCAGAGGGAGTTCTGTAGCTCTGGGGGCAACAGACCTGCTTGCCACGCTGAAAACGTGCAAGCGAGAGAGATTCCCACTCACCTCCTCCGCTCTGAAGCCAGGGGCCTCTGCCTCCGCCGACTGCCCAGACCCCTTCGTCTCCACTGAGCTCCGAGGCCCTGCAGCAGTGGATGGTGGCACCTGGAAGACAAGGCACTTTCCATTCCAGGACACAGCCACCTTGCCAAGTCTCACTCTATAAAGGGCAGCTCTGGGGCCGTCACTGCAATGCCGGCTCATGGGTGAAGGCAGAGACCTGAAAACGGGTGCTCTAGCTGGGTTGGGAAGGGGGTACATGGAGATCAGGATTTGGCACGGTTTGCTACAGGAAGGAAACTGGGAGCCTTCTCATCATGATGCAGAAAAGCCTCATTTTACATTGTAAAGAAAACAAGCCAAAAAATCCCCAACTCAGCATAGGTCTGTAGGATCAGAGTGGGCTTCTTCAAAGAAAAGTATCCTATTTCTCCCTCCCCAGACACCCCATGTCCAGCCACTGGCCCTGCTGCCCAGCCCACTCTCAGGGCACAGAACAGCAGGGCAGCAAAAGGGGAGGTCAGCATGAGCACGGCTTTTTGGTGGCAAGCTGGGGGAGGCAACACAAGTGGCAGGTGCACAAGAAAACCCACCTTTGCTTCCGGGGAGGCCTCTGAATGTGATGACTTTTGGGAAGAGTCCTGCTTTGTTTCCAGAGAGTTCTCTGGATGTGGTGACTGTTCAGGAGAATCGTCCTCTGTTTCCAGGGAGCCCTCTGAATCCGATGACTCTTCAGAAGAATCCCATTCTGTTTCCAGGGAGTTCTCTGAATCTGATGACTCTTGGGAAGAATTCTGTTCTGTTTCCAGGCAGTTTGCTGAATGTGATGATTGTTGGGAAGAGTCCTGTGCTGCTTCCGGGGCTTTGGCTGGCTCCCGCACACTTCCAGGCCTGAAGTACCTCCTTGAATAACGCCCACACTCAACACAGCCGAACCTGGCCATTTGTGGTTGGGGTCTGAATCTAGGTGGGGAAGGTATGAACCTGGAAAACAACATAACCATGATCGCGGACCTGCAGTGGGAGGGAGGGACACCTGCACGAGCAATTCCTCGTCAGGATGCAGCCCCTGGGTGGGTGCAGGTGTGATGAGCTCAGAAAGGGGGTGTCTCAGAAAAGGAGAAGGAAGGGGAAGGTAGCAAGATGTTCAGCATCAGCTCAGGTGCTAACTAGCTCTTTCTGTGACGTAATTTGGGACTTTCTGGGCATCCTCCAGCACTTCCAGGCCAAGGCTGGGAATGCAGAGAAGGTAGCAAGGAGCAGAGAGCAGTTTCTCTGCTCGCAGAGAGGACCCATCCCAAAGCAGAGGGGCCAAAGGGCTGTGAAAGTGCCTCCACCAGCACTGTGGAGGCGGGACTAGGAGCCCTTCACCAAGGTGGTCACTGCCTCACGCCACAGAGGTCTGAGAAAGCAGATTTCCCTACCAGCTTTCCTTCCCAGAGGAAACCAGGAGGGGGACTACAGCAGCACCAAACTCATGGAAAACGCCTATTCCCTGAGCATCCAGCCTGAGCACGGCTGGTCGGTGTTATTTCCACAAGGGAAAGTCAAAAGCAGTTTGTCAGATGCCAGGCAAACAGCTTTGGTCTTTGCAAAGTACAAACAGGACACCAGAGCTTCCAGGAGAGGGCAAAGGTGCACATACCCTGTCAGGTACTCCTTGCTTTTCACCCGGAATGACCAGTGGTAGTGGGCAGGAATTGGGCTGCAGTTGGTCATCTCCAGGGAACGCACTTGTTTTGCGCCATTCGCGATGCAACCGAAGTCCAGCGCTTTGGTCGGGATACGGAGATTCGGGAAGTAGACCTCTCCCCGAACGGTGATCTCTTCCTCATGAGGATGTTCCACCAGCTGGATCTTCATAGTCTTCTCTGCTACCCAGCTGATCGGATCCTTTTCATAGGCTGGGTTAAAGCCGATGGAGAGATGAAGTTCCTGCCCTGCCTCCATCTTCACAGGCTGCAAGGAGACAAGGAGTGTCAGTCACCCACACGATGAAGTCCCAAGGTCTGACAGCACAAAACCGTAAACGCTCCAAGTGTGACCCCAGCACGGCCTTCCCAGTCCACCCTTCAGTTCTTTACAAGGGAGGCTCTGACTGCAAGCACCACACTCCGGTGGGGGATTCTCAGGCCAACACCAACAACGTAGGCCGAATCTGAGACAATATTAATCGGTTCACCACTGAAAATTTGGAAAGCTCGCACAACTGCTGAAAGCTCCACGATTTGGGGAGAACCTTCTACTTTATGTATATCATACTGCCAATCGTCATTTTGTCGCCAAATTATTACTGCATTACCAGTTCTCCCAGAGCCATCGGTAAATATTGTTTTGGCATTTTTTATAGGTAATTCTGATTGAACAATTTTTAATTTTAACGGAATTTGAATTAATCTTTGGATAAATGGACACGCCGGGAGATGTAACCGAATTTCTCCCGGGTAGCTTCCGATGGCAATTTGGAAATCAATGGAGGTTTGCAGCAGTTGGTCTAGATGTTCAGAGGTCAGCGGAAGGTAGATAAAATCTGGTTCCTCACCGCTGAGCTCTAAACATCTAGTGCGGCCTTTGAATACTATTTTGCTAATCATTTCAGAGACGGTGGTGATCGTCTTACTGAATTGATGCGGGAGGAACATCCACTCCCACAGACAGAAGTCTTTTTGACCATCGGTGAATTGGCCTAGAAGGCCAAGGGGTTGTCTCTCCTCTCTGATAATTATTAAGGAGGATGGCAGTCCCTCCATCCTCCTATATGACTGTCTTTTTTCTATTTTCTTTTCGACAATGGATAAGGTTTCAATCGCCTCTGGTGTTAGATGGCGGGGGGAGGACAGGTCAGCGTCTCCACGAAGCAGCTCAAACAGTGGGTGCAGATCTCCGGTTGTGATCCCCAGCACAGGTCGGATCCAATTGATCGCACCCAGTAGCTTTTGGAGGTCATTCAATGTTTGGACTCTTTTGTTAATTTCTACTGCTTGAGGCCGAATGGTTTTTTCTGTGATTTTGAGTCCAAGGTACCTCCAAGGTGATTCCCTTTGAACTTTTTCAGGGGATATCTCTAATCCGTTATCTTTTAGAGCCAGGATGGTTGAATTTAACGTCTCGTTTACAGCCAATTGAGATTTGGCACAAATCAAAACATCATCCATATAATGGAAGATGATTGATTGTGGATGCTGTTGCCGAATTGGACGCAACACTTCTGCTACAAACATTTGGCAGAGTGTTGGGGAATTTTTCATCCCCTGGGGAAGCACCTTCCACTGGAACCTGCGGTGGGGTTCGCAAGCGTTGATGGCAGGGACAGAAAAAGCAAATCGAGCCGAATCAGCCGAATCTAAATAAATTTGAAAAAAGCAGTCCTTAATATCAATGACCACTAGGGGCCATTCAGCAGGGAGCATAGATGGTGATGGCATTCCCTGCTGGAGGGCTCCCATTGGCTCTAGGACTTCATTTACTTTTCTCAGGTCTTGAAGAAATCTCCAGGAACCTGAGGCTTTTTGAATGACAAACACTGGAGTGTTCCAGGGACTGGTGGAAGACTCCAGGTGTCCTTTGGCCAATTCTTGATTTACCAAGTCGTTGAGAATTTGCAGCTTTTTACGAGGTAGGGGCCACTGATCAACCCAAACTGGCACATCAGTTTTCCAGCTCAGTTTGGGGAGCTGCTTCACTTCAGTGACCCCTCCTAAAAATTTTGTTCTGGGGACAGGGTTCTCAATGAGAGTTCCCACTGCCCCATCGCGTCCCGTCCCCACAATGTAATTGGAATGTTTAGAATGTAAGGTTGGAGGGACGCTGGTCTGCCCTCCGGTCCATAGACTGTTAGTACCTCTTTACTCCGGACTGGATATTGCGTCCCCCCCACACCGCTAACTTGTACATAGGCCGTTTGTGCGGGCCACCCGTGCGGCCAGTCTTTAGAGGCGATTATGGTCACGTCTGCTCCCGTGTCCAAGAGACCTTCCACTTTAACTCGCTGCGGGCGTCTGGGCTGTGAATAGTAAATTAGACAAGTTAACAGAGGGCGAGAAGATTCAACAGTGGTTGACCACAAAACTTCTTTGTTGTTCTCTCTTCTTTGCTCCTCGTCAACAGACAGCACACACAGCAAGTCATCCATGGAGATCATCTTGGCCACGGGAAAATGTTCCTCTAGCTGTACGGGGGGGGTATGAACACACAAACAAACAGCGATGTTATTATTCGCAAGTCCAGTCAGGAGAGAGGGCACTACTATTACTCCCTTATCCACTGCCGAAAAGTGAGAGGTAATTAGGTAAGTAGCATCAGGGTTAACTGCTTTCGACGGCTCAACCCTGGCGAGCTGTTCGTAAGAACTCAAGTGAAGGGAGGGGTGCACGACAGACAGGATCACCCAGGGGAGTGGAACGCATTGTCTCGCCACCGGAACCGGGTCAGGGAGCGGCCGCCGAGTCACGGGGTAGCTGGGCGTGATGCCTGGCGCAGAATGGAGCGCACATGGGGGGCATTTGGTATCATCGCGCTCCCCCGAGCGCTCAGCTCCCCGTTTCCCGACGGCCCACACTCACCCGACCGGAGGTCCGGCATTGACGAGAAGGTTACCCGTTTTTGTAACCGAGGTGAACGGCACGGAGGGAGAGGTTCACCACTGATGTTGGTAAGGGACCGGCAACTGGAGGTCCAATGCCGTCCTTTCCCGCACCTACGACACAGCGTATTTGGTAAATTAGGTGTCGACTGGGACAACCTTGGACAGTGTTTTTTGAAGTGTCCCTTCTCCCCACATTCAAAGCAATGGTTTGGACCTGAAAATGCGGCAGCCATTAGACGCGCTTTATGGGAGTTTGACCCGATGTTTTTGCACGCTTCAATCATATCTAATAGAGTGGGATCCTTCAAGAGCTTGAGCGCTCTTTGGCAGTCCTCATTTGCCTTTTCGATAACCAATTTCCTAAATAAAATTTCTTGACATTCCTTTTGAGGGACCTGCCTGGCAATAGCCTCTTTTAACCGCGTTATAAATTCAGTGAAAGGTTCTTTTACGCCTTGGTCAATCATTGTAAAGGAGGGGGTCGGCACGTACGCGTCGGCCACCTTCTTTAAGGCGTCTAGGGCCAATTCTTTAGACTCGTCTAATAATTTAGGATCTAATCTAGCTTGATCCCCTCTACGCGTGTAGTCGCCCTCCCCATAGAGCATGTCTATGGCTTGCCGTGGGGGAATACCTCGCCTCTCCATCCGGTCGTTCACCCAGGTTACAATGCGCTTCTTCCACTCGGTTTCAAAAGCTGAGGCCTGTACTGTCGTTAGTAACCCCCCCATCACACCCCGTATATCGAAGGGAATCAACGTATATGCCAAAAAGAACGATTCCAGTAAACCGAGGGTAAAGGGGGCGCCCAACCCGTACTCTACTATGGCCTTCTTAATATCTTTTAGCATAGGATACGAGATAGGGCGCCACTCCGGTGGTTTGCCCTCGTCATAGTAAACCGGGAAGGCTTTTAAAAACTCCGCATCCCTAGCGGATGCTGCTTCTTCCCGGACTTCGCTCCAGATGTCTGGAGCATCGGCTGGTTCATCCGGGGAATATGGCGGCCAATGATAGTCTGATGGGGGGTACCGGCGGGCGGAGTAGGCCTCGGTGACCTTGGCCTTATGGGCGCGGCCATCTTGCCGGATGTTACCTCTGGCCTTCGCCTTAGCCCCGCCCACTGCACCCCGTGACTTCCGGGAGGGGGATCGTTCTGGGGAGGAGTCCGGAGTGGCGGAAGAGGGCGTAGAGGGAGGCGTGTCCGGGGAGGGGCTCCGCGCGCGCGTATACGGGGGCGGAGATGGCGCTGTGGGTGGAACTACAAGAGCCCGCCTCCGCTTTTCCCGCCTCGATCTTTCCCGCGCTTCCCGGGGCCCCGCCTCCTCGCCGCCATTTCGTGATCGCCGCGATCCCCATCTTCTCGCCCTCCCGCCATCTTGCGACTCGCTGTCGGAGTCCCTCCCGCCATCTTGTGTGTGGTGGTTGGTGTCCTTCTTCCCTCTCCCGGTGTCCTTATCTGTATAGCAAGTGTCCGTGTCCGTGTATTTAATGTCTCTGTCCATGTCTTTCTCTGTGTGAGATTTATTTTCTTCTGTGGACTTGGAGGACACAGCTTCTTGGGTGTTACTGCTGTTGTTCTTATTCATCATCTGGTGCTGAAGCACCATCAGAATAAGCCTCCAGGCGATAAGCGCCTCTTTTGCGAGTCGGTCACCCCTGCCGTTCTCTCGCCACAGTTGAAATCCGATGGCTTGCCATTTGTCGAATGTGGTGTTATCATTAACTTGATGACCGTGACGGTCAAGCCATCTGGCGAGGGCTTTCGCCGATTTCTTATCTAAAGGGTGACTGTGCTCAATAACAAAGTCCTTGAGGCGGCGATAAACATATTTTTGGGAGGTGGAGAGTGTGAGTCCCATGCTGGTAATCGGGCTCCTCAGCACTCCCTGGTGTTATTCCTCCCTTTCGAATTCAAATTATTGGGGTGAGGTGTGGGGTGGAGGTGTAGGGACTGTCCCCTGCAGCTCACCTGTGTGGTGTGCGACCCACGCGGCAGAAGAAGCCCGTAGTCGTCGGCTTTGCAGGGGAGGGCCGGCGGAGCAATCCCCTCTCCTGGGGATGCCTGAGCTCAAGCGAAGGCGCAGGAGTTCTCTCGATGCGAGAGACCTCTACTGTGCCCCACGTTGGGCGCCACTTGCCACGACCCGGGGGGAGAGGAAAGGGATCGGGCACTGCAAGAAGGGTTCAGGACACAGTAGAAGTCTCGTGGAGCAATGCCAATCTTTATTGGGGAAACTGTAACTTATAAAGGGTAGGTTCAGGGGTGGAGTTTTGGACTAGGGAGGAGCGTGGGATTGACAACTGGGGAAACATGGTGATTGGGCAGTTAGGTAAGGAAGGGAGGAGTTTGGGAATCTCCGGGGGAAAGGACCAATGGGAGCTACCTCTGCACTGCACCAAACTCCAACCAATGGCAGGCAGAGGAGAGGGAAAGCAGGGAAAAAGGCGGGAGAACTGTGAGGGGAGGAAGAAGACAATATGGAGGATGATTTTTCAAAAACAGCAACTGGGGTACAAACATTCATATAACAATACAACAACAACTGGGGAATAACTGGGGATAACTGTCCAGTCCATAATAGTGTCAAATCCGGAGTCATGGAGTAAAGTCCAGTGAAGTAGAGTCTTATCCGGTGTAAAAGGTGTCACTCAGGGCTATAAATCTTTCTCCAGGCTTGATATTCATCCCACTCTGCCCTGCGTTCCCCAACACAGTTGGATCTTCATAGTCTTCTCTGCTACCCAGCTGATCGGATCCTTTTCATAGGCTGGGTTAAAGCCGATGGAGAGATGAAGTTCCTGCCCTGCCACCATCTTCACAGGCTGCAAGGAGACAAGGAGTGTCAGTCACCCACACGATGAAGTCCCAAGGTCTGACAGCACAAAACCGTAAACGCTCCAAGTGTGACCCCAGCACAGCCTTCCCAGTCCACCCTTCAGTTCTTTACAAGGGAGGCTCTGACTGCAGGCACCACACTCCGGTGGGGGATTCTCAGGCTCCTGTTTCTGTGCTCAGCAGCAATACAAGAGGATGGCTGCTGGAGAGCTGGGGTGCTCTCCAGGAGACACCTCTGCTGCATGGCTTGCCCACACCTGGCTGCCTGCTCCCTTCCCCTTGTATCTTAAGAGCCAGGAAGGATCTTTCCAATTCAGATGAGTTTTTGCTTCCTTCAGCAGCTCTGCTGACTCAGTTCACAGTTCAGGCCAGTCCACTGCTGACTCTATGGAATAAACTTCTTGACTCGAGGACCTCCCAACAGAAGGGCACCACCACAGCCCTCCCTCTTCAAAGCCCACTGGCAGGAGGGTCCTTGGCTGCTCACCTGGGCCCCTGCAGGGAGGGGCTGATGGTCTGCATCACAGATTAGGAACAGCTGCTCCAAATCCAGCAAAAGGTGGAATGGCAGGCAGCAGGTGTTTTTTAAAGATAGAGGCTTGTACTGAAGAGTCAGGACATCATCGGGGTGCTACAGAAACAGGAGACAAGGAAAAACAACCTCAAGGAACCACAGACCTCCTTCCCCTTCCAACGCATTTCACATTTTTCAACCTCAGAAGTGCATACATCTCTATTTACTCTTTTTCTTTGATTCTAAACCTTCCAGGACATTTTTCCCTAGAGCTGATTCTTTACATGTTTCGAAACCCCAGCCTCCCCTGGGAGACAAGGAAACACTTCCATGAACAGAGGAGGGAATAGGCTCCTGAGAGGAGGCAGCTGCTTGAACAAGATCAAAGGCAGAAAGTGACCCCAGAACGTTTGTCTCCAGTTTTGTCTCCTCTCTTGGGCAGAACAGCACAAGATGATCTTCCCTCACATACAGTCATTTCTCACAGCCTTATTGGCTCCAGCAGCCTCCTAGAAGCAGTGATGCCAGCCAGAAGAGAAAAGCAAGCAGGATTTGGCCCTTCGTGGAGATCCTGCAGCAGCCCAAGGTCAGCTTTGAACATTCCATGAACATGTGGCCAGCCAGAAACCTCAACAGTCCCTCTGCAATGTGTGTCCTGCTGCCTCTGCCACAGGCACATGGTGTCTATAACCTCCAAGCTATGATCAGCCTAAGCTCCTTCTTCTTGTTTGTGCATTGTGGTGGGCTTCTTGCACGGGGCAGAGAAACCAGAGTTTGGGAAACTAGTTCTGGATGTACTGATATCAAACAGCTGCAGCGCCAGAGCACTCCATAAATCAGTGTGGCATCAAGCAGAGCACAAGCAGGCATCAGGGAGAGCTGAAAAGTTGCTCATTACATCCAAACTGCCCGTTCCCAGAATTCGGTGCTTCCGTGGAAGCCTGGTAACCTGATGAGAGACCCGAAACCACAGAAACTAAAAAATGCAACATTTTTGTTTCCCTGAAGCCAGAGCTTCCTTTAGAAACATGTTGTTATGCTCAGGGAATGATGATGCAGAAGTTGGGATCCAGAGACTAAAGGGCACCTGCTTTGCCTCGGTGGCATCATCACTGCAGCTGCAGGACGTGTGTGGGTCCTTAGAAGCAGGTGAGGCTTGGGGAAATGCACAGAGCTGTACCATAGAGCTATACCATAGAGCATCCATGCCAACAGCAGAGAAGGCAAAGACACACAGCAGATGACAGGTTTTTCCTCATCAGCCTGAGGAATTCACAGGAATCTCTGGTTTTCCCAGCTTCCCTACTTCACCGTGCGTTGGAGGATCCTCAAAAACCTCCCTTGACAGTGAGCACAGAAACTGGCATTTCTCTCCAGGTGGCCACGGTCCCCCTCAGCAGTGCAGCTGGAGCCACAATTCTACTTTGAGGAAGCTAAAAACCAGTCTCATCTCTAAAAACATCCTCACTTACCTTACAAAGTGCCTCAGGAAGGGTAAAGAGGGCTGTTAACACAAGCACACACCCCCCCCCACGAGCTCTCTCGCTGAGCCATGCTGTTAAATGCCAGGATGCAATCCAGAGACTTACCTTCTCCACACGGAAAGTGATTGCCTTGGATGATATTTGCACAGCGGGAGAAATGAACTTGCAGGTGACCTTTGTCTTGATTATCTCTTTCTTTGTTATCTCTGGCTTCACGACTGTCTCACACACAAGCTTCTCCTCCACGTCCTGCATGCAAGAGTCACTTGTCACCAGTGCTGCTGGCAGGGTGTCCAGCAAACGCCCTGCGTTGGCTCCTCACCCCCCATGGGCCACAAAGTTACAGACACTGCCCCCTTTTCTTCCTGTGCTGCTGCAGCCTATTTCTTCTGTGCTCCAATGGCCCTAACACTGCACCCCAATAGCCACAAAAGGCACTCGTGAGACACTCCCTCCCTTCACAGGGCTTCTCTTTTACTCTCTGCTTACTCCAGAGAAACCACTTGGCACTTGCTTAATTCACTTTCTGCTTGGGCTCCTGCTTTAAGTGTAACCTATTTTCTCTGCCCTTCCTTTGTGCCTCAGCAGGTGACACTGGTAACCCCCTGTTTGCCCCCAAGAAGCAATACTTCCTTCAGCCCGTATTTTGGGATCAGCATTGGGGTTTGGTAGCTATGGAATCACAAAAAAGCCTTAGCAACCGATGGTGGCCAGCAAGGAAAGCCACTGGTGCTGCCATGGAAACCTGTAGCCTTAAACACTGTCTTGAAGGCCCTTGCTCATTTGCCCAGGCAAATGTCAAGGGGCTGCAGGAGAAGCCCCAGTGCAGGGGACCTGATGGGGAAGGCTCAGCCCTTGGCAGGGACCTCACCTGGACAGTGCTGGAGAAGCCTTCCAGCACCAGCTCCATAGTCTCGCCTGGCTGCAGATTCATACTCCGTGGCCGCAGCTTAAATACGGGGGTGGTGTGTCTCTGGGAAGCGTTTTTGCCCTTGGGGACACAGAGGGCAGGGAGAGGATGACGCTGTCGAAAGGGGCTGAAACCTTCTGTGTCCCAGTACAGCCGCTGGAACTGACGCCCCTTGTTTGTCACGTTGAACCGGAAAACGCAGGGAACGAGGCTGGAGGAGAAGCAGAGATGGAAAAGGTCATGGGAGCTGCTATTTCCCTGCAGTCAAGTGCTCTTAGTGAGCAATCTGAAGCGTTAATAGCTTGGAGACCATCTTCCCTTCCCGCTCTTAATGTGGACCAGAAACAATGTCTGATGCCCTTCTGATGTCGTTATTGCAAAGAGTAAGAGGTTTACACTGGCAATGTAGTATTTCCACAGCTTCCCTCAGCACAAGAGACTTCCTTCGTCACCATGGGCTTTTTCCCTCACCATCCTGGGCTTCCCTTAATGGATGCAGACTGAAACCATCACTTTGAGAACACTTCACCACCGAGAAGGCCACAAGAAGAGCATCAATGGGATGCCATTGGAATCCATGCAGCGGTGATATTTTCTCTACTTAATCTGTCTCTTTGTCATTCTCTTTCTCTCCCCCTTTCTCTCTTTTTTCCCATTTCTTTTTATCTCTCTCTTCCTCACATTTACTGTTAAATAAAAACCCGTACTATTCACTTTGGCACACGGTCTCGCTCGCCCCTTAATTCGGGCAGAGGCGTCTCTCTAATGATTAAAGGAACCTGAGCATAACAACATGTTTCTAAAGGAAGCTCTGGCTTCAGGGAAACAAAGCCAGGGCCTGGAGCACTGTAAAAGATTTAGCCTGAAAGTCTACAGCATAACTGCTCCTTGCTGAGCCAAGAGGAGAGTCAGGAGTTAAGAGATCTCTTACTTGAACTGGGGTTCCAAATTCAGCTCCGGCGCAAACGGTTTGTCAATGGTAATTGTGGTGCCGATGCCCACAGCCTGGATGGGGATGACACTGGTAAGGCTGTTCTCAATGAACAGCTTCATGCTGTCTTCAAATCTCCCTGTGTCACCCAGGTTTGCCGTGACAACCACAGGAACCTCAGCCTTGGCAGGGACCACTCCTTCCCTGGGTTCAATACTCCAGCATTTGCCATCCTGGAAGACAAGGCAAACATGCATTTAGGATGGAAACCATGGACCCTGGTGACTTGTGGGGTGTGAGAAAAGGAACGACTACAGAGAGGAGGGTAAAAAGCGTAAAGCCTTCATTTCCCTAAATCTAAACTACTGTGTCTGAGCAAGAGCAGAGCTTATACAACCTGTATTTTACCTGCCTTGAACCCATTTTAACTGACTTTTAAGTTTTGCCCAACCCAAGGGATGCTCCTCCTCAGGAGAATGTTATTCTCCCCCCAGTCTTTTCTTGGAGTGTATGCCAAGGGAAGCTACTTTCTCTCTTCTGGTTTCCCCACAGCAGAGCTGGGTTTTCACAAAGGCTCAAGGCTGCAGAAAGCCACGACTGCTCCAATCCCACCACAGCAGCCACACAGCTGGAGGATACTGCTGAGAGCCTGAAGACTAACTCTGCAAAACCGCTTGAGCTAAAGCCCAGCACCAAAGTCCTCACCCCTGAAGGACCAAAGCCCTGGCTTCCCACTGAGCATCAGCTGCCAAGAGGTGCCCCAGAGCCCTCGGCTTTGGAAAAGTCAGCTCTAAATGCTTATAGCAGGGCAGGAAAACAGGAAGCAGAAAGAAAACTGCCTGTGGGCATGGCCCAGCCTTCCCACTCTGGTCCTCTGCTTTCTCCTGGACTTCCCTCTGTGGATAGGGTAAGAAAGCTGCAAGCTGCCCTGGGGAGGGAGGCAAGGCTTTCCACTGGGACAGCTGTACAGACACAGCTCGGCAGGTCCCGGCCTGGGATGAGCATGCAAAAACTATTATTTCCATGCCAGCACCACCCATCCGAGGTGGCTTGCTCTCTGCAGGGGTGGAGAGCAGAACTTCATTGTGGAGTTGAAGAAAGCTGCCCTGGAAATCCCTCACTTGGAGGTTACATTTCCTCCTCAGACACCTGGGAAAGCAGCAAGTGGAAAACTCACTCTCCTCCTCCTTGGCCCAGGAGGCTGAGCCTGGACTCTCCCCCACCGCCTGCTGCTTTATCCACAGACACAACCATGCCCACCGTGTCGGGGCTGGCTTCAACCAGCTCCAGCAGTCCAGCCCACTCAGCACGGAGGAGAACAAACCTCCCCCCAAGGCTATGGAGGCCACAGGCTCCAGAGGTGCACAATCCCTGCAGCTGTGTCTGTGTGCAACAGCCCTGCTGCTCTGACCCCCAGGAAGGGGAAACTCCTCTCCCCACCCAGAGCTTGAGGCCAGACCTCACACCCTGGTCTCTACCATTAACAGCACTTTGGCACAAAGCAAATGTAGGTGGTATGAGGAAACCACGGGGAAATCCTTGCCCTCTCAGGAGCAAAGGGCCACTGGCTCCTCTTCATCTCAGAGCTCCAAAAACCCAACCTGCACCGCTAAATACCTTCCCCAAAATAAAGGGAGAACTTGTAACCACAATCCAGACTTGCTTCTGCTCCTACAGCTCTGCAAACTGTTTCACTGAAGGTTGTCCCAGCTAAAACCACCTGCAGAGCCAGGCTCCTCTTGCCTCGGATGGAATCTCTTGTCTCCTCTCTCCCACAGGGTGATACAGAAACCTTACATATGAAATCCAAGTCCTGGGCTGCTGCTGACCAGGGAGTTTCCCTGGAAAACAGCCCCACAGACACTTACGATCTCTGCTCTGAAGGCTGCAGGGATGAGATCCTGATTGCACAGCTGGAGAGTTTGGGAAGTCTCCTGTATCGCTTGGATCTCGCCCAAGTTTATCTTATTCACACTTGCGTAGACAAGCGGCGTCTTTCCAGTGCACATGAAACGCATTTGCTGTTCCAGGGAGCAGGTAAGAGAGATTTAAAAAAAACAAACCCACACAACAGGGAAAGTTAAGAAAGCTTAAACAGCTCAATCGCACTCAAGTCATTTCTCTAGGGACAGATATGATACTCCAGTTAAAATGCTGGCCTGTTAGGCAAACTTTTGACATCTTCCCTTCCAAATTAAAAAAGATTAAAGTCTGGGAAACTTTCAGAAAAACTGTAAACTGTTGGCCCAAAGGCAAAAGCTTTGCAAGAAATTTGTAGTTAAAAACAGTCTGGCAGTTAAACAGCTGGTTATTCTGGTGGGGAGAAACCCTGCTCTTTAAGGGAAGCAGCCTGATAGTTACAAGCAAGTGTTTTGTTAAAAGTCAGGCTCCCCTGCACAGCCTGCACTGCCTGGCCTTCCTGCTGACTGGTTTACATGCACAACGCCAATGGCCCGGCTTGAGATGTTTGGTGCCACCCAGGGGATTTGACATCATCCTTTCCATCTGCTTGACTCTAAGTTTAAATCCCTGCAACCACTTTTCAAACATCAGCCTTCCTTTCTGACACAGAAAGCTGAAGGTTCCCAGAATCCTCCCTTTGTGTTCAGAGAGATGACATTTTAAAAGTGTTTCCACAGTTACCAGCATTTTCAATGGAAGACTAATTAAATAAAATGATCCTCGATTTCAGCTTAGATGAACCATAGGCTGAGATTACCCCCTAGGAGGACTCCGCTCTTCCTCTTTTCCAGCATACACTGCTTATGCCACCACTGCCTTCTGTCCTTGTCCACACCAGCCATATATGAGGAGTCCCTGCTTTCCCTGGAAGAATCCCTGTGCACTCCACCCCCCCAGGATGAACTGCACAAAGGCACACGTCTCCCCTCGCACTCACCAGCGGGGATGTCTCCTTCCCGAACACGGCGATATCCACCGGGATGGAAGGAGCACCCACTGCCTGGACTTCAACTGTAATGGGGATCTCCACCGCCTCGTGACCTTGGATAATCCCACACGGCTTGGGGCTGGAGTACCACAGAGCAGCGGCCTCTTGTTGTCTCTAGAGGGACAGAATCAAGCGCAACTTCAGAGGGACCTTTGCGGAAACTTTAAACTCCTTCACATCTACCACAATGGCAACTCACACACATTTTCTAAAAATCCCCAGGAAAAAGCTGAAAGGCACAAAAAAAGATGCAAGAATTGTTGGGGCTCAGCATCCTCTGGGGATCCAACAGCTGCTGCATCCACAGACACCCACTCCTGTGCTGGCAGCCTCCTTGCAGTAGCTTTTCACAACCTTCTAAGAGCTCTCACAAGAAAACACCCCAAACACTAGAATATAAAATGCTTCCTGAAGAGGTTCAAATGCTTCCTGAAGTTGATATTCAGGCAGGTTCCTATTTAACTGCTTTCTAAAGTTTACATTCAGGTAGAATCCTGTTCTCAGCACACCTTTAAGTCTGAATAGAAACCAGCAAGGTCTTATGAAAACCCCATTTGTCCCTAATAAACCCCTCAATAGTATTTGAGAGGAGGAGGGGGATGAGATGCCAAACCTGAGGGAGAACTCTGTAGCATCCTGGAAGGGGGCTCGGGTTCACAAGGGTCAGCGTCTTCTGGCAAGGGACCTTTGCAGAGCACGGTCCACAGTCGAGGGTGGAGAAGAGCAAACGCAGCTCAGGAACGACACATCTGGGCAAAGAGATGACCCCGAAGGAATGAGAGATACTGAGAGAACAGAGAGCGTTCACCCCGCAGAGCATGGAATGGAGCATAAGACATTTGTCACTGTCCAACAGATGTTTAATACCCCTCCAGAGATAAATCACCTTTCACGTCTTTCCACTCAAACACGTCTTGTCAAGGAGGGGCAAACCCTGAGACTCAGCACTGCAGAGGCTGCCAAGTGCCCGGGCAGAGCACGGGCCTTGTCCCACAGCAGCCTCAGCCCCTCCTTTGCCCAAGGAGGCTTGCAAGGACTCCCCCAACAGGCCCAGCGAGCCGTGAGCTCTGGGGGAGCCTTCCTATTGAAGGTCAGTGCTCACCAAGGCTCAAGGAACACAAGACTCCAGTGTCTCAGGAAAAACAACTCCCTTCTCTCCCAGGGTGCTGTTGCCCTGCCAGAGAACTCAGCCAGTGTTGAGGGCACGAGCCACCCCCTATAGGGTGTGGGTGATCATCCTCCCAGTTCCTACAGCTCCCTTGCTGCTGCACCCCACAGGTCCCAGGTCTGTCCCCACTGGCACTTGCCTTACAAAACTGCAGCCCAGGCACTGACTGGACAGCTCTGCCTGGGAGAGGGAACGGCACCAGGGAACTGCATCCCTCTTGTCATTAAACTGACACCCAGGGCAGCACCACAGGAGGGAATTTGGCTGCAGCAACAACAACATCTGCATTAAGTCTGAGAACTGAGAATGTTAATGCTCAAAAGAGCCAGAGGGAAGCAGGGAAACCTGAGCCCACCTACCACATCAAGGACTACTTTCCTCTCCCTCTCCTGCTGTGAGCCCCTTTCCCACTGCCATGTGCCCTCGTTAACTGAGCCAGACCCCAGCTCTCAGCAGGCTGCTCACTGCGTCCCAAACCAATGCTGCAGTGTGGTTGGAACCTAGCACAAGCCCACCTCTTGCAGGAAGAAGGACAGGAGGAGCTTGGGAATTTTTTACACCTCAAGCAGCAAAAGCCAGGCCAATAAATAATGTCATTCCTGTTCCCCAGAGAAAAAGGCCCAGACCCATGCCTGGCTGTGAGCAGGGGTGCTTCTCACCACGGGCTGCTTTCCAAGCACTGCTCTTCTCCTACCTAGCTGGGCAGAACCAGCTTCTTAAGCAAGCCTTCTCCTGGAGCTGCAGCCAGCAAACCCCGAGCAAGGCACTGTGCTGGTGGTGGGTGCACGGGGAAGGACGAGCAGCTGCAAGGAGAGCACTGGTACCTGGCTTTGAGGCACAGAGCCAACACCTCCTTGCCAAAACCATCCACGTCCAGCACCATATCACAGTCGTACTGTCCCACGTCATTGGAACACAGCGTGACCTGGTGGAAGAGAAGAGCAGCAAATACTTCCCTTCTCCCAAAAGCTCATTACCCACGTGTGGTCTCCTCCGGTTCTTGTTTCGCAGTAAGGCAAGGGAGGATTTTGCCTTAATTCTTCTGCTGGCCCATGCCTAGAGCACAGTCTCTGGGAGTAACATAAGCCTTCTGGCCATACTGAATTTGTTAAACACACCTTGCAGCTGTCAGGGCAGAGGTGGCTAAATTAAAGCATTATACATAATCATGTATAATGAGACTAAAGCTCTACTCACTACTGCCTTCAAATTAGGGGCCCATTTTTTCATTTGACTACAATAACATAAATGCAAAGGAAATGTGTTGACTTGGACAGAATGAGTTCAGCTTTTCAGCAGGAAGCTGAGGGCAAGGTGTGCTCCTGCAGATGCTGGGCAGTTCATGGCTGCCGGGTTTTTTCTTTCCTCACTGGGGATCCCTGCAGTGACCTCAACTCATTCTGCTCCCCAGGAGAGGAGAAACGAGACTGGGAAGAAAAGCAAACTGCTTTATACAGTGGCATCTCTCTAACAGCCACCTTCTGTTCTCATCCTTCCTCTGCCTGTTTTCAGTCAAAGAAGTCACGCTCAAAACCAACACACGAATGACTTCTGTTGACCATGTGATCTCACCTTATGGTTTTGGAGACAAAATGGTGCTCCTTCAGGAACATTCCACGTAACCCAGCTCCCACACCACTGCAGATCCCTCCCTTGCACATGCTGAGAGCCGACAGCACTAAAGCCCTCCCACAGCCCAGTGAGGCTTCAGCCCCACCTACTGACCCATGTGTGGCCAGACTCCTCCCATACCCTGATCTCCTGGGATCCCTGGGAAGGGATGGTCCCTGTGCTGGGTGTTATGGTGAACTCCACTGGCTTCTCCTGACATGGAGCCAGTGTGCCTTTTTCCCAGGAGGGGTGAGCGTTGTCTTTCACTTGATCAGAGCTCCTAAGGCTGGGCTGTCCCTGGCCGTCCCCAGGGATGCGAAGGTGGAAGGTGATGGGCACCACGGAGGTGCTGATCAGGTGGCACGACAAGGTCTGAGGAAAGCCTAGGAAAATGACACAAATGGCCATGTATGCACCAAGCACCTCGTGACTTCTGGTGTGAATATCCTGGTAGGATGAAACTATGCTCTGAGACTTGCTTCCCGTAACAGAAAGCCAGGGATACAGCCACACCTGGTGGGGATGTCCTGCAGAGCCAGGACACCAGCCCACAGCCTGCTCTGCACTAATTAACATCCCACACTAAAGGTACGTGGCTTAAGCTCCCTTCTCCTGCAGTCCCATCCCCTGGGCCCTCCTGGGACGAGGACTTTTACAGTCGTTTTGCTGGCAAGGACTGGGAGATTGGAGCAGAAGAGACTACGAGGGACACCAGAAAATACTGACTTTCTATTCCTTTGGTCCTTTCGGATCTCACGATGGCAAAATGCCACCAGCAGCCCTGGAGTTAACACCCTGCAGGCTGCCATGGAAGGGCACGAGTGACAGATGCTCTTCTGTTCAAGTGCTCCGTTTTGGCAAGGCACAGATCTCTCCTGCTGCCTCCAAGCCCAGGGAACACTCACCAAAGGAGACGTCATTGAAGTCAAGGCCACCTGTGCTGAAATGCAGGCTCAGTCCGGTGACGTGGCCCCTGCGAGGACGAGGACAGAGGAGACAACGGCTTGGTTAAAGGGAACTGCAAAGCCTTTGGCCGTCCTTCCGGCTCAGGTGGGTCAAAGCTGGTGTCAGAGCCCCGTGGGCGTCGAACCAGCCCCGCACCCTGTGCTCAGCACGGCGTCCGTGGGCACAGGAGGCAGCCAACAGCTGCTGATGGGGCTCAGGGCACCACGGCAGGCAGGGCATGCCCCCGAGGTGCTGCTGGCCCCATGGAGGACCCTGTACACACACCCAGAGATGGCTCTGTGCCCTTGCCTTAGGAGAAAGACCGACTCACTACTTTTCTCTTGCAAAGTAATAACCTTTTTGTTATGTTTTATCCACTTCCCTGATGTTCCTGGTAAAATGGACTGCAGATTCCTTTTGTTTCTTTACTACCTTGATTCAGTGCCTCCCAACAGCAGCCCAGACACAGCCACCTCCAAAGCTCCAGAGCTCCCAGCATCAGCTTTCCTGTCCACCACATTACCCCGCCAGCCCGTGGTTCAGACTAGCTGGGACAAGCCCTCGTGCTGCTGTGGTGCTGAGGAGAGAGCTTTGCCTCTCCTTCATCACCCCTTTTCCCCATTGCTGGGCGAGGATTATCTTTTGCAATGGCACCAGCCCATGGGAGGATGCCCAAGTCCTTGTGACAGTCCCTGCTGCTGCAGAGCTCCCCATCTCCCACCCCAGTCCCTTCCTGCTGTGGAAAGGAGGTCCCAGAGCACTCCCTGCACAGGAGCCAGGAGCACAGCCTGTGCCTGTGCCTGGGCACGAGGGATGATGTGAGGCTGCTGCTGCCCCTTTGGCACAGATCATTAACAGAGGACTTTAGAACCACTTCTTCTGGCTGCAGAGTCACCCAGGCTGGCCCATCTCCAAAGCCCTGGGGGCCTTGCTGGGCGCTCAGAGGGGACATCCCAGACCAGCAGCTGCCCAAAACTAATGCCTTCCCACTGCCTGCCACGGCCAAGGCGGAGGGAGGTCCCTGCAGGAAGGAGTCACTCCAGCTCCTGGGCACCTGCACTGGGCAGAAGGCATCCCCACACTGAGGGGATGCCAACATCAGAGCCAAGACTAAGACCTCGGGCAACACCTTTTTTCTCTGCTCCACCACCAAATGAGGCAGGTGAGAGATGGTTACCCAGAGACAGCTACAGACGTGCCCACCAAGCTCCCAGAGCCCTCCTCACCTGATAGTCAAGGTCACAGGCTTAGGGCATTCAGCCACATTGAAATGGAATTCTTCCTTGAACTCCCCCAGGGTGGTGGAACTGAAGGAGATCTGGATAGGCTGGAGCCCACTGGGTGGAATGATGCCCTGCTGGGGCCGAAAGGTGAAGCAGGAGCCACGGGCTGTGGTTGGAGGGATGAGCTCAAAGGGAGCATCAATAGCTCCTTTGTTAACCAGCATTGCCTGCAGCAGCAAGAAAGCAAAATGGAAAGACATGAGCAAACTTCCTTTCTTACAGAAGGCTGAGTTGTTTCTAAGAAACGATTAACCCCTGGAAAGGCAGAAGATGCAATGTGCTGCTACGTGGCAGAAGCCAAAAAAGTACAACAGGAGACAAGTTCTGCCTTTGGGTTTTCATGCAAAGCAGCGATAACTTCACATAAGCAGAGTCACTCCTGGGTTATCCCAGGGACACGGAGCGGGTCACTCCTGGCCAGCATCGCCAAGTTCATTCAGACCTGGCCTGAGGAGCAACGTGGGGCAGTTGCAGCCACGCAGTGAATCCCCACAGAGCTGCTGCTGCTCCAGGGGTGCCCAACCCTGCCAAGGGCAGCACACATTCAGCTTCCATGGCAGCCAACCAGTTTATTGCGTGTAGAAGACATCTCAGAACGGTGCTATCACCAACTTCAGAAGCTCTCCCCAGCTCTGCTAGGGTAGATTGTTTGGGTTATTGTATTTTTCATTTAATCTGATAGTTTCTTAGACCTTGCTCAGCCAAACATCTCAAGAAAGGATGAATGTGAGGTGCACAGCAGCTCCACCTATTCTAAAGAGTTGCTCTCTCACATCTCTACACAGCCATGGGGAAACCCTGCCATTGCCATGGACTTATCCATCTGCTTTGGAATTCTTTCCCCAGTTGTTAGCCTGGCAAAACCTGTCAGAACAGTTGAGGCAGAAGCAGAGGGATGTCCCTCATTTTGTAGCTTTGCAGCTGCTCTTGCAAATATTCCCATATTCAACCTCTGCCTTGAAACTTGAAAACTACTCTCCTCTCGTGTGTTACCTGTGTTACAAATTGCACTTGGGGATCCCATGCTGAGCTGAGGTTTACCTGCAGCGTACCTGCTTAGGACAGCACTAACAGTATCATCTACTCATTCACCTTTTCTCATCTAATGAAATTACTATATTGATAGTGAGAAACACTAAAGTATCAGCATCAAAAAAGAAGAGAGAGCACAATCTTTTAGTAAGAAAACAATTCCGTGTGTCCTTTCCTGCCATGGCAAAGCTTTTGGAAGTGTCTGGCATGATGCAGTGCCTCATTTTCCACCTTTTTCAGTTGCTCTCTCTTGCAGTGGACTCAAGCTCAAACGCAGCCAGTTTGTTCCAGCTGCTCTTGAACAGCCCGAGCACAAAGGTGCCTTGAGTCTGAGGCTGGAACAGAAGCCTCTGAACACTTCAGCTTTTTGACCCAGTGTTGCTTTCATGTGTTGAGGGGTTGTTTTGCAGAAAGCATCCCAGCTGATCTCCAAGGGCGGTTGTCAAAAAGCAGGAATTGGGCCTTCAGACAACACCTTTCAGGCCCCGGAAAAGGATCCAGATTCTGTGAAACCCCCCAGATTTGACTACTATGACAAATATTCCCTGCTCACAACTGCCCAAGTTGCCAGAAATTCCACAGGTCCACCAGGCTCCCCTCTGCCCCAGGAGCCATCAGGATCCACCCCAGCCCCTGCTGCTCACCTCGTAGCTGTAGGCTTCTCCAACCAAAACTTTCCCCATGTCCAGTTCCTCACAGCTGAGTTGGAGGCAGGGCTCGAGGCCTTCCCCTGTGAGGTGCAGGGGCAGCCTGGTCTCACGGCCTGGGGAGAGATTTCCATTTCAGTACAGTAATTCTTACTCTCTTATCCTGCTTTTTCCAGGCTGCCTCAGTGCTAGTCCCTGACTCTGAGATGGGTGAGACCAGCTCCTTCCAATTTCTAACCCACCCCTCGGGCTTGTTTCCCGTTTAGCCACCAGTTTGCACCCTGAAAAAGCGATGCCAAGTTTAAAACATGATTTCTGCAGTGATAGGACATTTAGGTTAGATATACAAAAGAAATTCTTCCCTGGGAGGG